TTTGTTGTGAAATGTCTGTCTTTTATGTCATTATTTTATTTTGATGTGTCAAGTTGGCAGGAGTGGGTTGGTGGGAGCACTTGGACAGTAACCTGTCGTGGGTAGCTTGGCACATCCTTTTTCTATTCCCCTTCCTTTGTCTATGTCTCTGTCACGTCGAAAAGTTGAAAAAAAATAGTTAAAAAACCTCCTGTCTCTCTTGTCTAGTTTTCACTCCTTTTTGATTTTGTTATACCCCAATTAAAAACGGGCATGCCCTAACTTGAGACGCTTTCTAGAATTCTCAGGCACGAGAACTCACGGCGCTCCATCGCTAGTTGCCAAAAAATGGTTTGAACACACCGATATTAATTAACATCTTTCTTTGAGTTAGAAAAGGTTTGTTACTGTTCATGAACGTTTCGCACTCTGTGTTACAACCGGTAAAACGGTAAAGATGGTTGACAGAATCTACACATTTGTACCTTTCCATTTCTTGCTACGCTAGACAGCCTGGTATCCTATCTTGCTTGGGATGCTTTTGTATACATGTACTTTCATCATGCGGGATATTTTTTTCTATTCCAACATTTATTACAAGACATGGCGACGGCGCACTTACGTTTTTTTCAGCTTATTTTTATGCCGCCACCAACGCAGGCGTGAACGGACAACAGACATGCTCATTTTCACCCGAGTACAGGGAGAAAATTCGTGTAAAGTGCCTTTCCCAAGGGCACAAGACATTTGTACAAATAAGAAAGTTTGACAGGTCTCCACCGTGTACTCTTAACTGGAATTTAGAGTCACACGTTGTCTATTCTTACTTAGGCTTACTAGCTGCATGTCAACCTTGAAAATGCGGTACGTCGCGATTGAAGTTTATTTTAAGCGGATCCGGATGAGGAATCCGTATATATATTGACGTATATGTAAGGACAAGGACATTTGATGACACCTGGAGAGTTCTTGCTGCCAACAGAACTGGAGACAACTGTCTACAGCCGCCATGCTTCTGCCATGAAGCCCGCGGACGAATGATTGAATGATTGAATGATTGAATGATTGAATGATTGAATGATTGAATGATTGAATGATTGAATGATTGAATGATTGAATGATTGAATGATTGAATGATTGAATGATTGAATGATTGAATGATTGAATGATTGAATGATTGAATGATTGAATGATTGAATGATTGAATGATTGTTGCAACCATCCGCGTCGTGATGACGCGTTGGTCTATGCGCCGCGCAGTGATACACTTCGCAAATAAAAGGTGTTTGAAATCCATTCGATTTAGTACGTGCGTGGGTGTGGCTGCTGCCACGCCTGACTCGAGAGGTCCCTCTCCCGGAGACAGACCCGCGGGTATTACAGCTTGAGGAGGCCAGCAGCCAACCAGAAGCAACACGACCATGTAACATGGATATGATGGAAAATACAATGATATAAAGAACTAAGTCCTACGATACACTTCATACTACACTGTCACTGTCATGTATCAAGCCAATTTTGTTGGGTTAATTTCTTCTTCTGGGGCAGTGGAAGACGAATTTACTTTTATCGTTTGTTGGTTCTTTGAAAGCAGAATTATACGGGTACATTAAATCAATGATATACGTTTTTAATATTTTTTCACATAATCTAAAAATCTATAGTTATGTCAAAATTTGGAAACTATAAATGAGTTGTACAAATACTATGAAACTAAACATGCATATTGAATAAAGTATGCATGACTTACACATACTACAAAACTACACATACATACTAAATAAGCTATACTTGGTTTACAAATACTAATGCATACATACATATTGAATAAGCTACATACTATCAACTAAGCATACTTACTGAATAAAGTATAAATGACTTATGATACTATGAAACTACACATACATATTGAATAAGCTATACATGACTTGCATTATACTATTCAGCTAAACATAAATATTGAATACATATTGAATAAGCTATACATGACTTGCATTATACTATTCAGCTAAACATAAATATTGAATACATGCATTCACAAAATGTACTCACAAAAATGTGCTGTACTCTTCTGTGGATAGTGGGATTCTGTCGGTCCAGGTCTGTCTGGTTCCTCCTCGGTGCCTAACACTCATATTTCCCATCCATTGTCTGGCTTGCATCTTCGGCAGGTCTGGGAATGAAATCTTCAGGTCTTCTGCGGGTGAGCCACAGCTTGATGTAGACCCACCATTCAACATGTCTGGTGTGGTGCCGCCTTTTGGAGCTTACTCGCCTTCAGGGGTTGTGGAGGTAATAGAAACATACTGGCACAAGTGCACAAAGTCACATACAATAACTGTATAGAGGTACAAGTGGGGGTACATGTCTTGGAAATGTGCTCATAAAAAAAATAAGATAAATTTGTGGTGGTAAAAGTGGAGGTAATTACACACAAACACAAAATAACACATACACATACTAATACACATACAGTAACACACGTTAAGCGACTTTTAGCAGGGGGTAAGGTCGCTGTGTACGGGAGCTTGAGGATGGACCGGGGAAAATAAATTTTGGAGCCAAAGGGAGAGCCAAAAATGTTTTGACGGAACCTCTCAAACACCGAACATCGATCCCCGCTAAATACCGTTCAGTCCCTAACATACACACACTCAGGGAGAGGGGGAGGGAGAGAGGGGGGAGGGAGAGAAAGGGGTGAGGGAGAGAGAGGGGGAGGGAGAAAGAAAGGGGAGAGATAGGGTGAGGGAGAGAAAGCGGGAGGGAAAAAAATGGGAGGGTGGGAGAGGGGGAAAGGGGGGAGAGAGAGGGAAGGGGGAGAGAGGGGGAAGATACATAGCCTTTGAGCTTCAAATGAGCTTTACTTCATTACACAAAATTTCAGGGAAACCTTGTGTACGTAAACTATGGACGGTCGAGCGACTTCAGCAAGCTGGAAGACGAGAATATTTCTCTTGAGGGGAAGATTGCCATTGTCCGGTACGGACGGACTGCTCGCTCACTGAAGGTGAGAAAAAAGTGTGAAACATTGTTCCAGTTTGGGCTGACTGAGAACCAAATTGTAGTACAGTGTGATGTTATACTTTGTTCAGTAAGTGTGATATCAAGTTGACTTCTACTATTCTGTCAGCAGGCTATTGATTTTATAAACTATTATCCAGTTGCGTCGTGCCCAAGATGCCGGCGCTATTGGTATGATCGTGTACGGAGATCCCAAGGAAGTGGTTGGGACCGGGAGTGGGAAAACTAAAAAGTATCCGGACGGTTGGTACGCACCTGGTACAGCGGTTCAGAGGGGACATTTCCTGTACGGTAAAGGGGAGGGGGAGCCACTCACACCAGGATATCCTGCTACAGGTATGTTTATATATACATACGTATCAGGCTCTCATACTGTCCTATGTAGGAAATGTACATAAAGGAATGGCCATATCCCTTGTGACACAAAAGTAAATGTCCAGTTTAATCCAGTTAAACATGATCCAAACTAGGACCACCTGTCTTTTGTAGCCACGTTTTGTGACCACGTTTTGTTATAAGTTAGCTCCTTGTTTGGTCACAGTACAATTTTGATTGTATTAAAGAGGGATGAAGGCTATATACAGAGCAAGCAAGAGTAATACCCTAAAGATCAGGTTTTAATTGGTAAGTTCCTAAATGGCCGGTTTATGCAAGATACATTATGAAGGTGAACAGTGGGAGAAACGTCTGTTTTTTAGACTATGCCTACAGAATTGACCAGAGTGAGAGTGACCAGCTGCCCACCATCCCGGTCCACCCCATAGGTTACGACGATGCTGAGCAGCTCCTCAGGTAAAGGGAACCAACAATGAAGTGTGCAGTACTACTATGAGAAGGCACAACTATGCAGAATCTATTGTTATGTTGTGTGATGGAAATTTGTTGTTCATAATGGACAGAAATACTGGCCAATCTGCCATCTTCAAAGACGAAACAGCATTTTTTATTTTAGATGTTCATAATCTGGGCAATCTATCGAAGTAGAAGGATGCGTACTACATGTACTTAATATAATCTGCCATTTCAAGATGTCTGAATGTTTGTTTCTATGTTGTTACACTCACAGTCACATGGGTGGAGACCTTGTTCCATCCTACTGGAAAGGCCTGTTGGACACAGATTACCGATTTGGACCAGATATGGTGAATGGAGCAAGGTAAGAGTAAGGATATTAGTGAGAGCAAGGGCATTCTACAACAGTACAAGGTAGAACGTCCTTGGTAAGAGGGAATCTGGTACAATTATCATGGTGGTAACAGACCAGGACAACCTTTTTTCGAAGTCTGTTAACGCATATTTTGTGATATGTAAAGATACCATTTCATCTCTTACTCCACATACATGTACATATACTTAACCACAGGTGAGCATGTGTAACTCTTTTGCTGGGACAATAGTATTTCTTATCATACTTATATAGAGAGTATGCTTTCCTTCTTGTTTCCGACCATCAATGATTGTAAGAAGGAAACTGAATTTTGTGCTTTCACTCCTCCTACAGTAAAGTTCGCCTGGATGTGAATGTTCAAACCGAGGTGAGGACCGTTCACAACGTGGTGGGAATAATTCGGGGGAAGGAAGAACCAGGTGAGCATGTCAAGGATGCAAACAAAAGAAACCCTGACTTTTGCTCTCCAGAGAGTAACTTAAAATTGAAAGTAAAGAGAAGTAACAATTCCTGTATATCCAGACATTCTTCTGTATCCTTGTACTAAAAGGCTGAGTGAACAAATGGTGTGAAAAATAGCGCTGCCCCGAGAGTTGGTCAAAGACCCATTTGGTGCAGTGGGTTGATATCATTGCGTGCTTTTGGACCATTTTTAATGCACATGTATTGATCATTGATTTAAATGGAGTCCAAAAGACCTGGACATGTGTATCAAGAGTACATTAGTATCAATGCCACTGACCTTGTAAGAGATAAAGCTGACAACTGGTATGTTTTTGTGTGCCTGTCACTTTTCCAGACCGGTATGTGATTCTTGGTAACCACCGGGATGCCTGGACCCTTGGCGCAGTGGACCCCAACAGTGGCACCGCCTGTCTGCTTGAGATCACACGCGCCTTGGGAGAAATGATGGCAACAGGTACATTCACTCATTACCAAACCACATTCTTACTTGGAAAAAATCCAGTAAGAGTAATGTTAAACTGGATGCAAGAAAGCAAGGGGGTAAAGTAGTCAGCACAAATACATGTTGTTGTTTTTTTTGTCTTTAAAAGATTGTGTCATATGAGCCTGCAATGCCTGATTTTCCTGCAGGGTGGCGCCCCAGACGCACCTTGATGTTCGTCAGCTGGGATGCTGAGGAGCATGGGATGCATGGGTCATATGAGTGGATCGAAGTAAGGTTAACATGTCATCTAACTTTTGTATGTCACTTTCAGCAACATTTCCTTGCTGTTCTTTTCAATGGAAAAATAATGTGGAGATAATGATTTCAGCACCAAGGAAAGACCCCATTACATTATCGGTTCCTATTCCAAAATGAAACATTTTGTACATGTATCAGGTTAGGTAATACTATACAAAGGATATACCTTAACAGTATTTACTAATAAACTAATATGAAGTCAAAAGCAATACTCTGCTGCTCAATTTCAGGAATTTGGCAAGATCATGTCAGATCGAGCTGTGGCCTACCTGAACATAGACAATGCAGTTCGAGGTGAGACCGCACCCACATAGCATTCTTAACATTCTTAGATTTAGCATCACTGTCACCATGTCGAAACATCATATCCCAAATCTTAGTTTTGTTCAGTTCGTTCAATTCGTTTGGGCCCAAAAATCCTGCTGGCTAGCAAATTCTTATCTTTTTCATATTCTGTGAAATGCTTTTTTTTGTACATCAGGGTGGTAGAAAGAGCAAAGTTTTTGTAGAAGGAAAATTCCTTCATGGCATGATAGGTGCTCAGCTAGACTACAGATTTTCATATGTTGAAAAGCTAGTGCTTTTTGATATGTTTTCATCAAACTTGTTTTTTGCAGAGGACTACACTCTTCGTGCCAGGGCCACACCCTCCCTCAAGCCTGTACTGAAGGAGGCTGCTAAGATGGTGAGTACACAAACTTTCTCTCTCTCCTCCTCCCTCTCCCCTCCCTCTCTCTACCTCCCTCCCTCCCGCACCCACCTTCTCTCTCTCTTCCTCCCTATGATGAAAGTCTGTGGAAAATGACAAAATTACGATTGTTTTAGGTCCCATGGCCAGTCAACACACAGGACGGAGACACCCTGTATGAAGTGTGGAGTAAGCGCAGCCCTGAAACCAGTGCCCCTGACTCGCCTCCCGAGTAAGTCCAAACCCAACACCAAAAGTTTCTCACTCGGGGGCAGATGAAAAACTGTTACATAAACTGCATGGCAATGATAGCATCCATAGTTTACTTCCTAGTACATTGGCATAGACTGGGTTGAATTGCAGTGTTCTGAAACACAATTTCATTCCAGGAATAATCTACTAGTATCAACTTGATTCAGCCAACCAACCATATACATGTACATTTCTGTACCAGATTGAACTGCCAATTTTCTCCACCAGAATTGATCCCCCTGCTGCTATTTTCTCCACCAGAATTGATCTCCCTGCTGGTGCCAGTGACTATGTGCCCTTTGTGAGGAGGATCGGTGTCCCTATCCTCGACCTTGCACTGGTTCATCGGTACACTGTGAGCACCACAGGATTGTTTTTATTTCCTCTTTTGCATTCTTTGAGTTAGAGTTTGTCTAATGTCTAGAGTTTGTCTAATGGTCAACAGCAACTTCAGAGAAAGCTAATTTTTCAAACTATGGAGCCTATCACTGTATCATTTGAAGATTTTTAAAACAGCTGCAGATTTGTCTAAGGCCCCATTCCCACTAGGGAAAAATTGTCCGGATCGAGCCAAATTGGTTTGCTTTGATCCGCCTCAAAGCCGGATCAAAGTGACTCAATTCTGCTCAATCCGGCCTAACTTGCTGTGTTGAATCACTTGTATGGATAAGCCTGATTTCACTAATATGGGACATTAACAAAGCAGACATGTCAACTCTTGCAGTATACCTACCCGAACTTCCCGCTCTACCACACGGCCTACGAGACGTTCCACCTCCAGAAGACCTACATCGACCCAGAGTTCAAGTTCCACCGCCTCATGTCTCAGCTGTGGGGGGAGCTGGCCTTCTCCCTGGCCGAGTCCTGGTTTCTGCCCATCAGCGCCTCGGAGTACGCAGGCACCGTCCAGGGGATGTATGACTGGCTGGTGGACGAGGACGGAACCAAGTTTGAAGAGTCTGCCATCTCACTAGGTGAGCTGAGGTTTGGGAAGGGGAGGGGGGGGGTATGTATGATTATTATTGTTTTTGCTCTGTTTCTTATTCTCCTCCAAACAAATAAGGTCAATGACCTGAACCAGACGTCTGTCGCCATGCTAACTATTGTTGAGTTACATCATGTTGCAATTTTTAGCAGGAGGGATTAAGACTCCTGTCCCCATATATATTGAATGTGTTTGAGTAAGAATTAACAGAGCAGACCATATGCAAAGGTAAAAATTGTGCAAAAATCATGAAAAAGGGTCAGGTCAAAAGAACACTTTGCCTGCTTAAATACTAGTCTTTTCTCTCTCTCCTTTTCAGTCCTTTCTGTAAAATTGTGTAATACCGGTACAGTGGAACATGTACCTGTCACGTTTCAGATGCGCTGCAGTCAGCAGTGACCAACTTTACCCAGGCAGCAGCAGCATTTGAAGATGAACTGGCTTCTCTGGAAACCAATACAGAGTGAGTAACAGAAAGAAAGTCTTCATTGTAGTTTCCTATTTATTGCACTGTGGTACTCTACTTCATTATGTGTGTTGCACAGCCCACTGGTTGCCCGAATGGTCAACGACCAGTTGATGCAGATGGAGCGAGCTTTCATAGACCCTCAGGGCATCCTGTACAGGAAATTCAACAGGTAGGCACCACTCTGTTATAGTTTACACTATTTATTAAGAACATGTGCCTCGCAGCATGAGGTACATGTACATGTACAACAAGCAGAATTGCACTGATTTGTACAATCATGTGGCAGAATGAACATCAACTGCATACAAAAACAAAGGAAACTTAGGCAAAATGCAAACCTATGGCTGCAAAGTAAACAAGAACAGTCTTACTGGCTAGACTTGTTATACGGGCATATGGCCTGATGCAGGAAAGAGATTTTTAATCTTTGTGTACAGGTTTCTCAGAGTTCTACTCTACTCATGTGCTCATCACAGAATATGCAGAGGCAAAAAAAAAAGAGCAGGACTGACTGTACTTGTGTGTACTTTAGGCACACCGTCCTGTCCAGTGGTCTGTGGGACACCGAGACCTTCCCTGCCCTGGGTGATGCTGTGAGCAGGATGGGCAGTGGTGACTGGCTCGATCCTGGAAAGGAAGACAAGCTCAAGGAGCTCAAGCAAGAGCTGTCAATCATCACGTTCTTCATCCAATCAGCTGCCAACAGTCTGGCTAAACCTGCCACAACTAGGTTTTAAAGTGAGAAATTGATGAAGTGCTAAAATGGAATTCTGACAACTTCATCACATCCAATATAATGTAATTTGGAGAAGACTATCAAAATTAAAATAGGTTGCAATAAAATCACAACCTGTTCATTACATTACCTATTCATCTATTATTACTTACAATCTATTATTAGTTATACATGGCTGCCATTCATTCAATTATCAATTACTCATTTATTACATTTACATGTTAAAATGGAATTCTGACCTCATCACAGTATTTGGAGAAGACTATCAATTAAAATAGGTGGCAGTACAACCCTGTTAGAACTTGCTCTGAAGATCTGTTTGTGTATAGTGGCACAAAAACCAAACTGTTACCGCTACTGTTCCAAGAATTACATATTCCTTGTTAGTGGGGGTAAAGGTTTAGAGTTGGGTATGAGTCATTGACTTTAACAGTAGGTTGACACACATTTTCAAGTCATGATATGCTGAGACATAATCTGCATTATATTACATTTTGGTGGCTATAAGAATTACATATTCCTTGTTAGTGGGGGTAAAGGTTTAGAGCTGGGTGTAAGTAATTGACTATAACAGTAGGTTGACACACATTTTCAAGTCATGATATGCTGAGACATAATCTGCATTATATTACATTTTTGGCGGCTATAAGAATTACATATTCCTTGTTAGTGGGGGTAAAGGTTTAGAGCTGGGTGTAAGTAATTGACTATAACAGTAGGTTGACACACATTTTCAAGTCATGATATAATGAGACATAATCTGCATTATATTACATTTTGGCGGCTATAAGAATTACATATTCCTTGTTAGTGGGGGTAAAGGTTTAGAGCTGGGTATGAGTCATTGACTTTAACAGTAGGTTGACACACATTTTCAAGTCATGATATGCTGAGACATAATCTGCATTATATTATATTTTGGTGGCTATAAGAATTACATATTCCTTGTTAGTGGGGGTAAAGGTTTAGAGCTGGGTGTAAGTAATTGCCTATAATAGTAGGTTGATACCATGCCCGTAGCCAGGGGGGGTTCGGGGGTTCGGAAGAACCCCCCCACAAGGCTCAAAAGTCCACTTTTTGGTCCACTTTTTATGTAAAGGTCCACTTTTTGGTCCACTTTTTATGTAAAGGTCCACTTTTTGGTCCACTTTATACAGTAAAAGTCAAAGATTTTTCTTGAAAAGATGGACTGGAATCGTAGAAAAACTGCTCCCTTTGTTATTGAATAAAAATTTTTCTCTGATTTTTTCTTGGAAACCCTCTCAAAAATGCACGAAATGCCATTTTAGATGGTTCATTTTTCAAAATTTTCCGGGGGAGCATGCCCCCGGACCCCCTAGGAACCTACGGCGCTCGAGGTCCCCTCAAGCAGTGGGAAGAACCCCCCATTCAAAATCCTGGCTACGGGCATGGATACGGACATTTTCAACTCATGATATGCCGAGACATAATTTGCATTATATTATATTTTGGTGGTACATGGTAATAATTGTGAAGGTGAAGGAGGGTTTGACTGTATTTGAGCCTAAATATATAGATAAGGCTTATAATAATTTAAAATAATATCAAAATAAGGCTTATTATCATTATCTTCTCCACACACAAACCTGTCTAGAGTATTCATGGGACAAATGCTGAAATCTAATTAATGATAAAATGTTAAAATGGAATTCTGACATAGTGACATCATCACATTCAACATATGTAATTTAGATATAGAAGACTATCAATAAAAATAGCTTACACTAAGTACTTGTCTCTGTGTTTTAACTATCCTTCAGCAAGCACGTCGGCAGAACGTACTGCGCCTGCGCAAAACCCTGATTTTTCGGGGTTTTCATTAGATGTTTGGTCAACGTTGCATTAGAATTTTTCTTGTTGCACAGGATATATTTTCCAACATAACATTTGGAAACTACAGACGGAGTGTTAACCTTATATGCGCAAATACGACCTTATATGAGATGTTCTACCGAGGTGGTATGTATAATACATAACGGGTTTCGCGCAGGTGCAGTACGTTCTGCCGACGTGCTCCCTTGGCATAACACATCAGATTCGCAGGCACACAGCGCGGCAGCAGCTGGCTACAACTCATTCAAAATCTAGTAATCACAAAAGACACAAATCAAACATGTACTATACAATTTTCTCATAAAAAGTTTATTGCATTGAAAAAATTGAAACATAACTTTTTGCACAATATGGATAACTGTGCGGTATCAAATATTACTATACTAAAACATGGGTCTATGACAAGACAATACTGCACATATCCAGCACCATTTAAATCAATAAATATAAAACACTTAGTTGAACTGTGCACTAGTTTAGAAATATGGCAGATTTTCAATACACTATGTATACTAATAATTGGTCTTTATTGCATTAAAAAGTACCTATTAACTGTTAGGCATCCAAATAATATTTATCACAAAATCTGTAGAACGTATTGTATCTATTTTTTAGTACAATCCCAGCATCCCTATGGAATATACTAGTATATGAGAATACAATGTTTTTTTCAGAACAAGGAAAATATATTTTCTGAAGAGTCTAAAAAAGACTACTACACTACACAGGGCAAGTTACTATCTAATTTGATAACTATTGCCGACATTTTTATTGTTAATAGACCACTGGCCAAGGGGAAGGCTGTTCACACTCTTTCTCACTCTGGTTGTCAGCACAGAGACGGTTGTAGGTGGTTTTGGGTTCAAAGCCCAAGATTGTGCGTTCTTCATGGATACGAAAGGAAAAGGTGGAAAGAGCTGTTCCTATAAAATACCTGTAAGAGAGGAAAAAATCAAGAAACTTCTAAGTGGAAAAAGATGGTAAAACTACAATATGTAGCACAGAATTGGAGAGTAGATATAGCTGGTGTGTTATGTTAAAGGACAGTTCTACCGGCTATACAGATAGAGATGTATGTAAATTATCAGCCAAACAAAAACCCATTGTCTTAGAACTGTTAGGACAGGTAGAATAGGTTGTCCTTACCTTACGCAGATCTTATTTGTCCTTATGCAAATGCAATTACTAGTATACATGTACATTTGACGGTTATCAATGAAATAAAAATTGTTTGGCCCAACTCCACGTACCTGGCATGTGCACATATCCACTGATCAATGATGGCAATTCCACCATCCTTGTACTTGTTAAGCTGCTCTTTTGTGGGCTTGAACCTCACTAGACCTTTCACTGTCTTCTGTATCTCTTTCACTTCTGCAAGAGCAATGTGAAACAGCTAAAATATAAGATAAAGTGTGCATCTTTGTTATTTCTATTGAGATCATTCTTTTTTCAGAATTGAGCAGCACTGACTTGACTCTATGGATGACATCACAAAACCAATGCGAGCACTCAAAAAATGTTGAAGTCATGTGGCCTTCATAAGTAAACAATTTTTTCTGGGTTACCTACCTTGGTCATTAGCGTCTGTTGCCAAGTAAACTTTCTCAAGTTTTTGTTCCTGCATGATGAGATTGATCTGTTTGGCGGCCCCCTGTAGACTGGGGACGTTCTTAGTGTGACTGCGAGCAAAGTCTCCTCTCCTCAGGTGTACAGCAAGGTAAGGACCGCCTTTAGCCGACCCGACTGCTGGCTGTATTATTATGCAAAATAACAAGTGCTAGTAAATACTAGCAGCTTGTATGTACTTTGTCATAGGAACACGGATTGGAACTGCTTGTCAATCAACTGAAACGCACACACTCACTTCCAAATTGGGAGTGGGTGGGTTTCAGTTGATTGACAAGGTTGTGACCTGGTATGTGAAGTGATAGGATGTGGTATGAGGTTGTCATGATTGTGTACTGTGTAATTGTGGTAGGAAACATAAACCAACGTGTAATACTGTTACTTCATACAATTGTATGAGTAAAATCGATTGCTAACATACTGACAATGTCCTCCTTAAAGGTACCAAAAAAAACAACTTAAACCTCAAGAAAAAAAACATAAAAAATGATGACCTTGAATGTTCTCCAGTCTTCCCACATGATTGTTTTGTCATCCTTGTCCGTGGAGTTCAGATATTTCCTCCGAAACTCGTTCCCTACAAACCTCAGCTCTTTGGAGAAACGCATGCTTCTCCTAGCCTGCAGAAGAAACATTTGGTTAATTCATTACTAATAAGCCCTCAGAGCTTCTAACTGGAGTACTGTTTCTTGCTGCTATATGTAACCGATGTAGGTGGCGCTATTGCGGCAACAACACAATCCCAAACGTGGCTACAAGACACTACTGCTTTGTTCAAATGAAAATCCCGATATCCCACGTTCTACCAACCTGTTGAAATTATTTTTGGGGCACTACAATAACTATCATATAGTTGTAATACCAGTGATGGTTACATGATAATAGATTAATTCACCACTCACAGCCCAGTAGTCTGTCTGTCCATAGGCATCATGTATCAGAACCTCTGCTCTATTGATCACTATGGACCTGTCAGCAGAACAAAGAAATACATAAACCTCAAACTTACACCAAGAACGTCTTTGCTTACACCAAATATAGCAGGATAAAGAATAATACAATAAGCTTATACAATGTATTAGACAAGCATAAGCATACATGTAATAAAATTATATAAGAGAGGTCAAGTTCAGTTCATTTGTTTGGACTCCTTTTTGTATTTGTTTAAGACAATGCACTTTGACACTCAGGGTCACTTGTACCAGCAAAAAACAAACAACTATTGAAGTAGCAGCTAAAAAATAGAGCTGGAGAAAAATTGTACACCACTTGGAGACTGAAAACATCTTGCATGTAAAGCTCACCTTGCTGTAGTATTTTCTGTCAGAGGTTTGACCATCAGCCCAGCATTGGCCTGTGCCGACACACACTTGAACTTCAACACATACGCCTCGTCATATCCCCAGAACCAGCCGCGGTAATGCCCGCTCTGGTCCGGGTGGTAGACGGGAGGGTCATTACAGTCCCGTTCATCCACCTTCTCCTCCCATTTCCCTGTCTGGAAGAACCCATCCTTGTAGCTCTGTAAGTACCACATCTCGTCCATCTCTGCTACACCAGTTTCTGAGGGAAAACAGTTACATGGGGAAAACATGATAAAGGCATCCAATGCAATTTTTCAGGGTGGCAAAACTTGAGTTTCAAAGTCAATTTCCTGGTCATTCTTTTAATGCAATTCTTTTAAGTTTATCCATCCTACCCCGTAGCATACTGATATCTGTGAGGCAAAAATGCAATGTCACTGACAGAAAACGTTTCTTTTGTATCATAGGCTGGTCCTAGCTATTTATGGGCAGCATCCAAAAATCAAAGTCTTAGAGAATACCTCACTATCAGCAAATACTGGTAGGCTTGATCTTTCAGAAAAAAAATTGACGGAAAATGACTGTTCAAAACCAAACAGAGTAAGTAAGAGAACAGATAATGTTAATGTTTGACTTGGGACAAATTTAGGGTTCTACCTTTTATGTAGTCCTCAAACTCGATAACAGGAATGTGTCTGTTCAGACTCTCCAGGTCAAAGAAAGCCGACCAGGGGATTTTGGTCTGCTGTTTCTCCATGCTGGATTTCCAGTGGTACAGGCGGCCCCAGGGAGGCAGGACTAGAACCCAGGACCCGTGATCCTGTAGCTTCTTCACCAGGTTAGCTATCCTCATGTAGACATCTCTACGTAGATTGAAGCCCTCCCCTGGGTTCACATCATATAGGAGGTACCTGAAAATTGTGAAATGGAGTAAGAAACAATAATAAGTCATATAGCAAATATCTCAATGATAAAAAAAAAACGATTTGATATTTCAGAGGCAGGATTCCCACTTTAAAAAAAAGGAAACCCTGAAACCCCTTATACATCAACACTGCATTCAAAGAGTGCAGTATACTATATATACTAAGTAACACCTTGATACCATGTGGAATGGTATCATTGAAGCTCCACTTCAAGAAATACTATACTTGGAAGTCTGAGGTCTCAAAGGAAACATCACATTCCACGGGAATTTTAATGACAACATTTGCTCTGTACTATACTGAAAACCTCTTAAGGGGTTATGTTAATTCTACAGGCATTTTATCATTCCTCTGTGTCCCCACTACACAATGGTACATAGGCACGTTAAGCTCCATGTGTTTACAAAATGAATATTGAATAGGACGGACCGATAGGTCCTGAATGGCAACAACACTCTCGTACGTAACAGCTGGTACGAAATTCAAAAGAACTTCTCCAAACAAAAGCAACAGCTTGACTTCGGGTTGAAATAATGCCATATATGAAATTATGAATGACTTTCGAGAATACAACCAATTTGCTTGAGTGAAGAAAATAGTTTTATTGTTGTTTTCGTACCTTATCTATTTCTTCTCAACTTCTATTTGCCGTAACGCCAATCATCATTATCTAATGTTTTGATATATTGAATTGAAGGTATGCATATAACGACAATTCAATGAGGGCAGTTAATATATTGGTAAGATATAACAAAGACCACGAAAATAAAACAAGATAGTAACCACTCAAACAGTGCTTATAGTGACATTAGCATTAGCATACAGCAAACAAATCCGACCTCCGCCCCAGGCCCTGTTCGTGCGACTTGTTTTTGACAACAGACGAATTTTAATTGAAGGTGGAGGAACCAGTTGGATCATATGGACCTGGCCTATGGCAAGATATGATCTAAGATTCCGACCGTTTTGAAACGATATCTCACCTTCTAGGCTTTGCTGCAGCAACTTTCAACATCCCCTGGATCCCTGGCTGAAAGAATTGTTGGTCTATCTCGTCATTGCAGCCGATTAAGGACGGTAAACCGAAGAAAATGAGGAAAAGCGCAAGGCAGACGACTTTCCAGCACCTACCCGCCGCCATTTTGTTCAGATGTCAACATTTGACCAATCAGAAGAAAGATTTAAAGGGCGGGAAATTCAAACGTAGTAAACTTTGCCGAACGGACTGTACCATTACAAGACTTCAAATGGGTGGGTGGGTGTGCAGGCTTTGTTAGGTGGGGCCACTATTAATGAATAAAAATCCCAGGTTCTTAGCCATTGCAACCAGGTATGAAGAATAATCCCTGACTCTGACTAAAAATAAAATATCTGTAGAATGTTTGATTTAATGTGTACATGTGTATTTGTCTACAATAACACAGCACAACATAGCACCTAACATGAAGTATGCTGGAAATATATTCCAGTTATGAGGCCTGAACATATCAACATCTTAGAACAAAACAAAGCATTTTGCATTTATACCAGTAATAATGCAACAGGAACCTACCAATACTGAATGTTGTTTTTCATAGCCACTAAATAAGCATATAGAACCTATTAGAACCATTAGTTTCTGTAAATATCATGTTATATTTCCACCTTTTTCCCACTTGTTCTTTACAGCAAACTAGAACTACAAACATAGTTACTTAATAGCTATGATATAATGATACATTTGGTTATGTTCAGACGACCCAAACTATGTTCAGATATCTCTAACCCTATGTTGGAATGTAGGAGTATCAGAGCATAGGGGCATCAAACATAGGGTTGTCCCTACACATACAAGACAAGAAATATATGTTTATATGATTATCATTCGCAAATAAAAACTGAAATTACAGGTAAATATATACTGGTGCAGCAACCAGTAATTTTACTAATAAATAAAAATTCCTGCATGATAATACTGTAGTTGCAACTTTATTTTAAAAATAAGACAGCTGCCATGATGTCTATTCTGTAGTTCTCTTCTGTATTGTTGACAAAATGACTTTTCCTACATAAAAACAAGCATGTATCTATGCTTTAACACAGGTGATGCTGGCCTTTATGACAGCAGCTTTAGGGCCCTCACAGCTGGCACTATGCGGTCCATGGTGTCAATTTCTGAAACAAAAGTTAAACAATAGAAGCCATCAAAACATCATACCACAGTCATCGTCAGAATAGTATGTGGTAGTATTGATTAAAGGCAATGCATGTTACAATGAAGTTTAACAATAAGAATTGATGACTGATGACAAGATGTAAGAAATGATGAACGGAATAAATGAATGGATGAATGAATAAATGGATGCAATATTTGACAGACAAGCATTGACTCTTGTCAAGTGAAGTATATATGTAACAAGAAAACATGAGGTAAGAGCATACCCAAGATGCTCTGCAGCTGCTGAACAAGATGGTGGAATGCTGGGAAGAACTTATCATACTGTTGCAGTCTGTCTAAAACACTGCGGAGTAAAATACAAATGTGAGCACTAGTACACTGTTGCCAACAAAACAAGACAATCAGAGATGGCAGACTTCACCCCCTTACTATTCAACAGGAAATAAAATATATTGCTGCACTGAGGATGAAATGTTGCCTTGTATATGTTGTTCAATTATATGGAAACACAGACACACACATATGCAAACACACACACACACACACACACACACACACACAGACAAGTCCCCAACAATACTTCTTTCCTTTCAGGTGATGTAAAAAAAATGTATATATAGTCAATCAGCCTGGAAGAATATGACAAACTGGGCATAACAATGTTGGATGGTACATTTCCCTGAATTGTGATATAATGTGATAAAACGTACCTGTCCAGACTGCTAGTGTGAAGCAGACTGTACAACTGTTGGGCTGTGGTGCTGCTGTGGGCCTCACACAGGTCAACTACTCTGTCTACAACTGTCTGGCAACTGGCACTTCTGTCTGAAGACATACATTGGGATCATGAGCACATTTCATTTTGCTAATACTGTATGAATGTACCCCCCTTTCCATTATATGCATTATTATATCCATAAACCATGCAGGTATCCATGCATCAAAGCTAACATCAAAATCATTAAAATTTACTTAAAATCCTAATACATCAACGCCAAAGCTGCAGTATGGACTGTACCATACTGACTGATAGGCAGGGGGGTTCCAGTACATACCAAGCTTCAAGGCTTCCCTGAGAGAGTTCATCATGTTCTGCATCTCCCCCAGCCTGCTGTACACTTGGTTCATCCTGACATAAACCCCATTTAGTTTTGGCACATCAAACAGCTTCTGGAAGTGTCCAACCATTGTCTGCAGCACTGCAAGGCTAGGAGCATCCTCCGTCCCCTGAAATTAATGGTACAGTCACATAATGTGGACCTAAAATCTTGTAGAGATTTCTTGGTAAAGACAAGTGACACTGGGGCTTTAAGAAAAGTTTTCTGTGGGATTTGGAGATGCAGTTCAGGGTTTGACTTGTGTTTTTCATCTTTCATCAATTTTGATTTTTAATCTCCTCGCTTGATTTAATCTCCTTGGTCTCACTGACCCTACCAAGATATACTAAACAAGAAAGGAAAAAGAATCAGTATTGAAGGTCTAAAATTTTTAAATTTTTTGGCTTTACATTCATGATTGTTACCTTGATTTGTGGAGCTTGTTTGACTTTCTTGGTGATGTCGTCAATGCTCCTTGCGATGTCAGTTGTGCTCAAACAAGCCTCTCCCTCCGGCACAGTCTGAAAAGACGTGTCCCAAGGAATCACCACTCCAGCCAGGTGGGAAACAGAATCTTGCAGATGCTATGGTTGATTAAAAAAGTGCAAAAAATGTTGCAAAATGATGCTAATGCTTAGGTCAAAATCACACACACACATACAAATCAACAAACAGAAACAGACAACCCCCAAACAATATTGAACAAACCTTGATCCCAGCCAGACTGTGTAGCCAGAGTTTGAGTTTAGGTAGCAGGTTTCTGTAGGACTTCTCACACCAGGCAGCATGGCTGTGTCCTGTCTGTCTGCTCTCCAGTACAGGGGCTCGCTTGTCTTCCACTATAGACTTCACCTCATCCGCAAACTCAACAAGGAAGATTCAAGCAGCATTTAGGATCATAGCGAAAAATTAAACTGTTCTCCAACTGAAACAAATTAGACTTACTGGAATTTTCAACCGTATCACTCGATCTTTATCAGTTTTCTGACCCATGTGCTGTAGACACGATTTTTCCCATGTTTGACATCAGCACTGGGCCAAAGTTTGTCGGAAAACATCACGTCTTCAGCACTTGGGATAGTATCCTGACTGTTTTTCATAAACAGAAATACAGTTCCAAGCTTTTTTACCTTCTCCAGCCCACTCACTCTGTCTGCTGTATTCTCAAGGGCACGGATGTGCCTCAGACCCTCCTGAAGGTCATCTACTTTTAGACGGCTGGCAAACGCCTGTGAAAGAAAGACAACACCTTGCTTCAGTGCACAGTGAACCAGTCATTATAGCCCTGATGAAGATAACAGACGGCTATCCAAATGTTACATGGCTCTAGTAAACAAGTTCTTGTGAATAAATAACTAAATTGATACTCAGTGATATGACCGACCTGTAGCCATTGTCTGCACACATCTATAGGCAGGTGGGGAATGTCGGACACTTCTGTACTCAGACTCCTGGACTCATCTTTGTGGTGTCTGCTTCTTCTGTTAGACAAGCTTCAGAAGAAGAGAAAAAATGAATGACTCATAACACTTTGTCAAACCAGTGAGCATATATGATATGATGCTGGCTAGCAGGTTTACATAGTACGATATCAAGCATAACTACATTGTACATAGTATGATTTACCTGAGGTTGTTTTGATCCAAAAGTTTCTCTGCCTTGGTCAGTCTGTGCTGCACATACTGTAACTCTTTTCTCTGTGGTCTGGGTGGGAATACACAAAATTTCTTTAAAACATTAATTATGTAAAATAATATCATGTTTTCTTTTCCTGGCACTCTGTATACATTAATCTGGCTACACTAGAATTCCCTCAGTTACAAAGAACCTTTTTGTACGTCAACTTACTTGTTAGCATTCTTGAACTTATTTTTCTGTAATCAATCTGTTTTTGTAATTATACTGTCACCTGTAAGTTGTGTACATGTAAGTAGTGGGTACCTGGTGTTGAGTTCCTCCTGCAGCTGGTTAATCTGCACCTGCAGCTGCTTGTTCTCTGCTGTCACCTGTTCCACCTGCTTCTGTTTCTCTTCCAGCTGAAACTCGTAGGACTGGAGCAGAAACATACAACACGTGGCAGATGCCTTATGTAAGATGTCACGAGAATGCAAATGTAGAAATGCAAAATTGACAGGCAAGTTTACATTTGTATATTCAAAATTTAATGTACTTGTATATGCAATACCCTTTGCTTATCAAAGCTTTACAACCAATACAGAAAGAAATGTTGAAGACAGAAGAATAACATGTAACTAGATAACACTCCAAACCTTGAGTAGAGCCTTGTAGTTAACAGTGGTGTCAAAGTTGGGGGAGTCAGCAGTACTTAATATATCTTCTGTCACGCCCTCTTCTCTGGAAATGAGCCAGTGATGACATAATGAACAAAGATAATGAATAATTGCACTATTTGGACAAATGAATGCAAATGGAACATCATGTCTATCATGAAGATAAGCAAATAGATAAGTAAATAAGACCATGTACATAACTACGTAAGAAATCATATACTGTATACAGTACATTATGTTTATCTGCATTAGGTTCTTACCTTTCTTCCCCAACACCATGTGTGCTGGTAGTTTGAGGTTGACCTGCCTGGGAATGTAGTCTCTTTTCCTCCTGTGGAATATACAGGTACATGTTTGTCAAGAACACAGCAGTGTACTAATTATTAATTATCACATAGCTATTGTTAACCAATTTGAAGTCCCCATTTCTATTACATACCACTAGTTATCACATGATCCAGACTACTGGTATTGAACACTATCGCAGCCCAGATATGACATAAAAGGAATACAAACCTCATGTACTGCTAGTTTGATCTTGGCCTTCATCTTATGAATGCGCTGGCGTTGTTCCTGTACTGTAGTCTCCAACTCACGACATCGCTGGTCTAACGTGTTCTGTCTGTCCTCCAGTAGCTGGACTTCACTTCTGTGCTGACGTTCCTTCTCTGTCTTCTCTCTGTCTAAAGTCTGGTACAAAGATTCGGTGTGCAGAATGTTAAATATGAAATAAACTGGGTGACTTGCAAAACAGGGGTCAGAATACATTTCTGCATACCTGCACCAGACAAATTTTACCTGCACAACTCGGAATTTAGGAAGCATGGATCATACTAAAAACTGTTCAAAAACGGTTGCCATCATTTCTTCAAATTTAACCTCATCCTCTGTACTGTAGTTAAGATCAGCTCTCTACTTCTGCTGGCTACCATGAAGAGAGCAACAGTAGGGAGCTGGTGGTAACAACAGAGGATGGCAGCCAGGTTATTTTTGATTGTGATATATGTGCAGGAACTGTGCATACCTTAGCTATTGTCTGTGACTCCTTGAGTTGTTTTTGTAGCTGCTCCAGTTGTTGTGATGGTTCTGCAACAGTTGTCCTGCCAACCTTCTCTCTACAACGTACAACAGTTAAAGTAAACTTTGTTATATACATTGTAACGTTACATATACTTTACCCAATTGCAACGAAAAGTATTTTTGTAAGCTTGGTACTGAATTTTCAAAGGAGGGGAGTAATTTCCTGACTTTCCTTTACAGAGAGATGACTTTCATTAAGCAAATACAGGCAGCAAACATACATGGTTCAATAGTATTATATGTTAATCCCCAACAGTACTCACTTGAGCTGGTTGTTAGTCAGGATCAGGTCCTGAATGAGGACCTGGCGGCGGTCGCAGTCTTGCATCAGGCTCTTTAGGCTGTCTCGTAGTGACTGAGCTGTGGCACTGTCAAGCACTGTCACATCTACATCAGTATGATACACAATACAACATCATTATAAACTACAATCTCCTTAAGCTTGTTGTTGGTTTATATATAGCTGTGCTATACCATTGTGTATTTTACCATTTCATACACATTCATAATTCTACTGCTCTGCCTCACCACCTGTATTTTCAAGAAGATACCTCATCACAAACTCATCACACCTGCACCTGCAAACAGTATGTCTTGCTGTATATAGATTTCACAGCAACCTCTGGATTTTCACCATGCCAGTTATGAATTGTCACCATGCTTACAGCCGCTATGCGTCTACTCTGATGCCTGCGGCTTGATTGAGGAACCAGTAATACGTTTCCTCACCGTGACCCTCAGATCTGATATATCTGATATGCACAACTATCTCAGTATGTGAATACATATTTCTGTACTGACCAGTAGACAGATGGCCAGGTTGTACAGGAACTATGACAGGCAGGCCATGTTCCTTCAACAACTGGTTCACCTCAGTCCAGGCGTTCTGGAATAAAGACAATCAAAGCAAAATATGGGGAAAACAGACGAATGTGTCAAAATTCTGATCTTTTCCAATTCTGATCAGTTGCTTGAGCTATCAAAACAAACTTTTGAATGCTAAATGTGCTATTTCTTGCATACCTCAGAAACAAACAGCGAATGTGTAGTTAACTGTACTATACTAAGCTCTAGTTGAAAGACATTTGTAACACATAGTAGCTAGGAATGGTCCTTGGCCTAACAACTCAGTGTCAAGTGTCAAGTACAACATTCAACAGTTTGAACTTGGCACTGAAATGAGCACAATACCTCCATATTGGCGGGTTTCAGCTGTGTTTTCTTCACTCACAGTCCCGACACCACCATCTGAACAGGCCCATATAGCGGCACTACCGTGTAGACACGGTTGGAGGAGCAGCTTCGCCGTTACATCAAGTATTCCCACAACAAACATGAAAACATCACGGGCAGACGAATTCGGCGCCCTTCGGTCCATTCATCCTACTGACGGCCTGTTACACTTGTTATAATAGGGGTGGTCTGATTTTTCCACTGAAAGATTGCAAAGTTAATAGACCTGAAAGCAACAATTTATAACTGGATAAAAGTCTTATGAGGTATAAATATGACAGAAGTTTTGTGTAATATTCGTATTAATTATGATTCGTAGCTTATTTTACTTTGCTTTGTAGCATTTCCTTTCTGAAATGTAATGAGCCAAAAGGTCAGTGAGAGACCCCTTAGGCTCAGTTTTAGAACGATAACTTTTTGCTATTTATCCAATATATACATGAGATTTAACAAATGTATAGACAAAGTGTTGGATGTTATTACTTTGGAATTAACTTTGAAGTTATGAAAGTGGACTTTTTTTCAAATTCTGGGTATTCATAATGAATTCACTTGTGATATTCGGTATCACCTATGTAGTCTTTGCGACCTGACAATTCCAACATGGCGGCGTCCACAAACGTGGTTAGCCCGTAACTTTCAAGAAAAATCAGAGTTTTATGCAATTATCTGTAAGCCATATACATCCAGGGACCGCTGCATAATCTCGGTAAGTCAGATAGAATATAGAAATGTGAAAACATGGGAGTAACATGCTGTTATTGTTGACATAGAGCCTCTATTATATAGTGATTTTACGTTCGAGTTTCGTAACATGACATGGAACGTTATGAAATATGTGTATCTTTTTTGATGATGTTAAGTTATTGGAATGCAATGGATGGGTTAAGAAAGATCGCAATGACTTAGTTAAATTAAGGGAAATGCATGACCATGAAAATTAGACTTGAGTTCCTGTATTATACAGGAACTACTTATGATCATACCAGTATATGAGATCGTGCAGATTATGGTCGTTTCCTCAAAATACAGTACTATAGTCAAGGACCAGTTTTCTTTAGATGTGACCAAGTTTTCACCAGTTTTATCTAATGGTTGGAACTTCGTGCTGTTACTTCTTTCAGGTCCTTTCTTATTCTTGATACCCGTGGATTGGGAAAGGAGATTTAATCATCACCATGGCAACACGACTGCTGCGTATTCTCCACCTGAGACAGCAAGCGTTAACTCTCTGGAAACGGTTGACAGTGTCAGTATGGACAGGTTACGTGAACAGGACACTTCTGTTGAGAAGATTGCCCAGTAGTACTACAGCAGTCCACAGTCAACACACGGATGTAGAAAGCGGTGTAGCAGTAGCAACCGAAGGCTCACAAAATACAGACTTGGAAACACAAAGGTTCACCTTGGAGACAAGGTTAAGAAATGCACAGCGTCTAGAAGACATCTGGAAGGAGGTAAACGATGAAGGCATGACCGGAGACAACGCAGTTCTCGCCATCTCCAAGTTGCACAGCTTCACGCAAACCATGAAGGACGAGGGAGTAACGAACGACTTGATTCTTCAAGATCCGAACTTCCTAGTCCTGTGTAATGTCGCAAATGACAGCGTGACCAAGATGTTCACGGGCAGCCTACTTTCGATGCTCAGGAACTTGCTCCTGATTGGTATGAACCCAGAGAGCAAGATAATCAAGTCCCTGGAGACAGAGATCCGCTGGCGCATGCGGAGACTGAACATGTACCACCTGTGCTTCCTGGCACAGTTCCCCATGCACGGCAGTTCCACCACGGAGAGCCAGAAGGAGCTCATGAGCGAGGTGCTGCGCAATCTGGACATGCGGTGGACGGAGCTCCGCGAGGCTCGGTCCGTGGTCCAGCTGATGGTCAGCGTGGGGCACCTCTCCACTGGCCTGATGGAGAAGCTAGAAGACAAAGTACTTCATTTCATTTATTTCAAAACATTTTAGCCCCATTAGGCTCAAATGAACATACAATTAAGAATAAATGTAACATGTTACTAGTAATAGTATACATTTTGCAAAGTCAGCAATAAAAGCACAAATACTTGTATACTATATACTAGGACAAAACATGATACATACATTTAAAACAAACATAAATGCATGTCACTTAATTAGTAATCAACACACAGATCTACATATCACAATTTTAAAAAGTAGAGGTCAGTGGTCTCGATAAAACTATTTGGAAGATAGCATTCTGAAAACTGGACAGTCCACACAGTATATATGTTAATGCAAGATGGTAGTGCATTCCAAAGCAAAATTGCGCGAATCAGAAAGGTACGTTTTTGCTGTTTGATTTAGGTACTGGAGATGGCAGAACAGCTGACACAGGAAGAGACCGCGAGAGTGCTGCAGGTCCTGGCCAATCGCGGCCGGCGGACAGTCCCGCTACTCCGCGCCCTCGCATACCACCTGTCCCGCCGACAGTTCCGTCTGGACACGGACGTCGCCTCCACCGTGGCGTACGCCTTCGCCAACCTGAACTTCCCGAACACGGCAGTTCTACAGAAGATGTCGGGGGAACTGGTAGAACAGGTGCCGCAGCTGAAACCCCCCACAGTCATCAGCTTTGCCAAGTCCTACTCCTACCTGAAGTGGCACCACCAGCCTCTCATGGACGCCATGGCTGCTTACGTCCTCACAAACCTCAAGTTTCTCTCAGAAGAACAGGTCAGGGATTAGTATGAACCTTTCAGCTTTCATTCCCCTGATCTTTAGAAATATGTAGCATTTTCCATTGATGAAATATTGCCTAATTCTCTAAACAACTGTTTTGAATACATGTATTCCAATATGTATGTACAAATTAACCTACAGATTATAGAACAAAATTAACAAAGGAAGCATACAAATAGTAAGTGTATACTCTGTACTTAAAAGCATGGATCCAGATATTAATTTACATTCAATCATTTGTATTATCACAGGTGGCAAACTTTTTGCTGGCATTTGGCAGGCTAAACTTCACTCCAAGCAGTGCCGATGAGTTCTTTGAGCAGGTAATAGAAGCATAAGGACATACACTGTAACAGTTACATTCATATGCCAGCACCTAGTGTACTTGTAATATGTACTTTAAGTTGTAGTATATTGAACCCAATCACTTTAATATGGAGACTATTAAGACGGTGTTGATCTTGGCCTGTAGGTCATAATATTAATTGAACATAAGATCAAAATGTGTAAAACCTGTGTGCACGGTGGTCCCGTTGCTATGTTAAAATCCTCGTTGCTAAGCAAATAGGCCCCGCCCACAACCCGGTGCGCTGTGAGCAGCGGCAGTATTCAGATAAACAACACAACTTTCGCCCAATATAACGCACGATGCGATTATGAAGTTAGAAAAAGAATCACGCAGACACACAAAAAATTAGTTCGCTCCCCAAATATGTATAAAATAAGAAATGACAACGTAGAATGCAATTCAAATTTCCCGCCGACTGTATGTGCGTACATAAGGTCATTTCGGGTCATTGAACTTTAACCTACCGCTACATTTCGCTAATTTACGCATCAAACACATGTTTTATCCATACTGTAAACTTTAGGACCTTTAAATTTCATTTCTCTTCTAGAATTTTTGTTGTCTGTGAGTTTTTAACTTATTTTGTCGATTTTCTAGTATGTTTTCTCCCATAATTCCATAACGGCGCAAGAGAATCACGTCATTTTTTTCAAGATGGCGGCCAGATGTTTACTTTTCCGATTGGTGTATTTTTCATCGAATTCTACCGATAGGATCGGGAGATATTGCTCAAAATACATTTTCTGCGTTTTAGTTCAAAATTCACGTGGAACAGAGGGTTTGTTTTAGAGTTATAATGAGGACGTCGGGTGAGATCAGAGCGGTTCGTTCTCACCTCCTTCCCAGGAAGGCCAGTGAAATGGAAATTTCGACCAGCGTGGCCCTATTGTTCTCCTCCCGGGCGCGAGTTTTAAAGACAACAGTGCGTTGGCTTGATGCAAATCAACCGCGATACTGTCCCTTTGAGAAGATTTTCTTTGACAGTTCGAGGAATTTTTCCAGTCGTATATATCGTATTTATCAGGGAAAGTTCATATTCCCCAAGTGGACGCCTATCATTGTACCGTGACAAAGAGAAGTCAAAACTACGTCGCGGTAGCGAACGAGAATAAAATTTACTTCCCCACCGTATGTTTTTTTAAGCTTCTTGGCTTATTTGGACGACATCATATGGTAAATCTAAAACTCTCCCCATCCGTTCCGTCGTGCAACCGTGTCGAAGTCGTCGGTTGGAACCTGAAGCTCCATAGTTTGAAGAAATAATTTTGACAAAAATCACAAAAGCTTTGTGTCGGCACGCGCGAGTAACTGAAACATAGCATCGACAATGATCGATAAAAATGGTTGCTAGAGATAGAACGCTGAACATTGCCTTGAATGTGTTATTTAGGATTTGAAATGCAGGTAGGTGTATAACCTCCTTAGCTACACGAATTAAAATAAAACATGGGGCTATAGGTTTATAAACTGTGACACAAAATGGCGTCGGTTTGTAAACAAGGGAAAAAGGAGGGAACCGGTCTAATCCAGATATGTTGTGAAAAAACTCTGGCTTCAGCCGACTTTCTTATACAAAGATTTACTATTATACTTCTACTATTTTTAAAATCTTCTTAGTATGGTTATGTTTTTAGTACGGTCTATCATTTGACTCCAGAACGTTACGATGTATTCCCCGTATTAGACAAAGTACTCGGCACGCCGGCCAAACAATCATGGCTTCTGTGCTGTTTCCGCGCCGTAAACCTCGTTTAGTAACAGGTACAACAAGAATACATGTATAAGAATGTATCTGAACAGTATGTAGTGTGTTTTTGGTAGAAGTTCTTGAATAATCACTCGAGTCTGGAATTTTTTAGACTATATTCTATATGTTCTGTCATGCAGCCGATGCCGGCTACAAATTGTAGCACAGTTGCGAATTATTGTTGGTGGCATAAGGAAATTAAACATGGCTTGAATGAGTGTTGGGGCATTGTAAATTGTGTGAATTAAGAACAATAGGGGCGGGGAAAGGCGCGCATATGAAAGGACAAGATCGCGGGAAAAAAACAGCGACTCAAAGTATCACCAAAACATGCCAAGGCCCCGCCCGCTAAAGCGTGAACCAATCAGCTATTGTTGCCAATAGTGAAATGACTGATTGACACCGATTTCTCATTAATATTAATGATTTCCAAGTGAGGATTTTTGATGGCCTTTTTGACCATCGTGGTGTTTCTATCTCCCAGGTTGTCCCCTATGTGACAGAAGGTCTGTCCTCCTTACCCAAGTGGATGCAGCTGGACCTGGTGTGGTCTCTGGCCATCCTCGGCAGACTGACCCCAGCACTGGTGGCCAAAGTACTGACCCCATCCTTCTACATGTCACTTACAGGTCAGAGCACAAAACTCTCTCAGAATGATTTTATAATCTCATATTAAAACACCTGAATGTAGTATGTTTGCAGGGGATCAAATGTGCTACACATGTCTGCTGTTTCTACATGATGACAGTTTCAGAAGTTTTAGTTTGAAGCACTCATCTACCTGTGATATACCTGGTACTCCTAACCATGGTTGGCATAGTTGGGCAGTGTTCAGGATGCCATATTCGGTTATATGTGTGACAGGGGCTTAAACCATGCTGTTTATTTTTCTATCTCTAGAAGGACTGTCCTTCAAGGCACAGTCCGCTCTGCTGAAGATCCTCCACATTCACACCACCGTCCAGCAGGAACTGACCGGCTACTCCGGCCCCCTGCTGACCACTGAGTTCTGCCACCCCAGTAAGATCCACGTCAGCCCCGGGAAGAACAACAAGGCAGCGTTACCTGTGGTGGACACCATCGCAACGGTGGTGGGCGGGCTGCACAAGCTACGGTCTGAAGTCGTCACTCCGTACGGGTGGACTATTGGTCAGTCTCAACCTGTATACACTTACATTTGTACCTAGTAAATGTATTCGCTTGTGTTCTTAGTACACATGTACCACCTTTCATGTAAGACTGCTGTCAGATTTTTAAGGCCACTTGTGTAAGGCCAACACACATTGGCATCTTATAAATGTATTCTTTTGTGTTTACATGTACCTCCTTTCTTGTAAAAATGGTGCCTTCTTTTAGGCCAGTGCACTTCTTTTACTAATCCTTAAGCCTTCGATCCTCAAATAACAAGGGCTTTTTGGGAAAAGCTTTTTCGGGAAGGATCTTTGTGCCTTGTCAGGGCTCGAAATTAACATTGTCCCAGTGTCAAATGACACTAAATTTTCAGCTTGGGACAATTCAAATTACGTTTCGGGACAATTTTGGGGCAATTGGAAAATTCTAAGACCATCCACGTCATTTGGGAACGCGATCCATCCATCCTGCTGCAGACTGCTGGCAGCCTATAAATATATAATACTCTGACAAACATTTAAATTTGACCAATCAGGGATTCCAAATATCAGGGACGGTGCCATGCCCATGATAGTATCATGTATTTCCCTACATTTACTAATAAAGTGGACTTCAAGTTGTACAAATTCAGTTGTTGTTTTCTTATTTTTGTCATCAACTTATTTCCTGAAAAGCAGGCTGGGACAGTCCATCTTTAGTCCGGGACAATTGAAATCTATGTTCGGGACAATTCTGGGACAATAGTGAAAAAAGTTAATTTCGAGGCCTGCTTGCATGTCTAACTTTCCACTTCCTATTACCGGTATTCCTGTTACTAACACAAATACAAAAGTACTTCCACACTGACATAACCATTGTTGATGTCACCCCTCAGATTGTGAGTTTGTGCTGGACAAAGACAACCGAGGGCTGACTGTTCACGAGTACCAGGCTGACCACATCCCAGGGGACCAATCAGAACTGACGACACTACCAGATGGAAGCCACAGGTCAGTCATTGAGTTCTGTAAGCTGTCAATCAATCAGTGAATCAACCAATCAAATGACATGTTTTGGAAAGTGGCTTTTAGGAAAAAAATTATTTACCAATAAAATTTGACTGCTTTCAGTCAGTTTACAGAAGTGAAATCCTTGCAAATAGAACAGAAAAAAAAATGAATTTTATTTCTGTATTGTGAATTTTACAAAAAGACTTGAACATCTTAAATATGTAGAATATACACTATATACACTCATATGGATTTCTACCTGTTACAATTGTTGCTGTATTTGTTTTCTATCGTTGTCAGTACATACGTTGTATATTCTGGGACAGAAACTAGCAGTTTTGTCCTCGTGTATGGGATAAACAAATAAGCAAACGTGTTGTGTGTAGGTTTGCGACGCTGGTGTGGGAGTATGGGAACTACTGTCACCAAAGTAAGAAACTGCTTGGCAGGTTCTCCATGTGCAGACGGCATCTTCAGGCTGCCAACTTTACCTTACTAGAGGTGGGTTTGCTTGTAGATATAAGAATTAATCATGAAGTTTGATGTTTGTTTATACATATATGGTTATGTATATTTATAGCCTTGTGTTGCGATTTGTAAACTCATGTTTTGCCAATAAAGGTGTAGCTTTATTTGGTTGGATTATTTTGTTGTTAAGACCTTTTTTATTTCTAGTTATAGACACAAAACCAAATACCAGACCCACACATATGCACACTTATACACTCGTATGCATACGTGCACACACACAAACACCATGAACATACACACACATTGTATCTCATGATTGTTGCTACCTGTCATTATGCTTACAATGTATCTTATAGTACATACATATGTATCTGAAGTTGTTTTTTTTTTACAGATACCATTTTACGAGTGGAAAGAGCTAAAGTCAGAGTTCCAGCGGGTAGAGTATATCAAGGACAAGATACGTAAGGCTATAGCAGAGGAGGCTGTTAATGTATTATAGCCAGCATATACAACATAACAAAGTAACAAGAAATCTGTGAACAAAAATAGAGTTTGGTATTATAATGTTCAAATGTTAGGATATTGCGAACAGTTCTAAGGGTTATCCCATTTGATTAAGGGGGGTGATCACCTTGCATATCAAATCCTATCTGTCTTACAGTCACTTATATTATGTACTGGACCACTCCTCTGGCATTTTCATGGAATAGACCTTAATTTTCAGTTAGGACAGAATTAGTATTCAGCAGTGACTTTGGACATGCATTCTCAAAGTAGGATAATGTTACCACTACCAGGGCTATTACAATCAAAATCAAGATTAAGTTACTTCAATTTTTCTGCTCACAGTCTGCTCTATCTAAATGATGTAGGATACACGACATAGTACTATACTGTGTGTGCAGTTGTCAATAATACATCTATGGAATTAAAATGTCTGTTAAAACCTGAAGCTGTTACTGTGTGTTTCCTACTTTTATGTCAGAATCAGTTAGATTCTGTTGTACTCCGTGTGGAATAGATTTTATTTGACACTTGTAATTTCCACTGTGATTCAGGAATATAGTCTACATGGCTCCTACACAGATATGAGTTATTTCTTCCAAATCTAAATCTGTCTGCTATCTAGTACTCTAGATCTAGAGACGTGGAGAGAGGTAAATATGACCAAGGACAGGCATGTTCACGTGTGTGTGTGTGTGTGGATAGTGTTCAGCACCAAGGACAGGCAGGTTCACGTGTGTGTGGATAGTGTTCAGCACCAAGGACAGGCAGGTTCACGTGTGTGTGTGTGTGTGTGTGTGGATAAAGTTCAGCACCAAGGACAGGCATATTCACGTGTGTGCGCGTGGATGGTGTTCAGCACCAAGGACAGGCATGTTTGCCTGTCTGTTCAGCACCAGGGACAGAAATATCTACCTATGTATCGATAGTCTTCAGGGACAAGAGCCTTACACTTTCTTAAAAAGCCAACTCCGAAGACTTCCCACGATCAACAGCGCTCACAAAGAAGGTCTGATGCAGAGAATCCAAGAGTGAGAAGCACTGCGCGCCTCATCGAGACAATGGTAGACAGCACTGTGACATAACAGGCGACACAGAAAGCCGGACGCACGTGGTCATTTTCTATGTGGACATGAATATGTACACCACGTACTCGCCAGACCACAAATGATGTGTATAAATTGGAACCTCCGGACGCTTGCAGACAGAAGACGCCACTGTTTCAAGGCATCAACTGCTCCTTGCTGCACCACATGTACACATCCGTGTAACCGTGCGACATCCGCTGTCTTACTACTGACCATTGACATCCAGGCAACCCAGGACGAAAAGGCACGTAGTTTGACGTTTACTTTGCTTGACGGCAGACAGTGACAACCTCCGTATTTTTTCCTCCGTAAATTTTCCTCCGTAGTAATCATGAAAGTAGGTGAGTTGTTCTTGCTCGTAGCTGTAGGATTGTTGTGGTCGGGATGTGCCTGTCTCCCGACTGACTGTAAAATCAAGAAGCGGGTGGGGTCTTCTAGTGGCACAACCATTGAATGTAAGTTTCTGGGCCTCAGAAAGATGCCTTACGATATACCGCCGGACGCAGACCGGCTCGAACTCGCCTACAATGCCATCAGAAATGTCCCGTGTCTGCCGCGTCTGCCGCGGCTCTTTGCCCTGGACCTGAGCGAAAATGATATCGAGACTGTAGCTTGGCCATCTCTGAGAAATTTGCCGGTTTTGGAAGTTCTCTACTTAATCGGAAACCGGCTGCAGCACGTACAGATGAACACTGTCTTAGAGTACCTTCCCAAGCTGAGATATGTCGACTTGACTAGAAACAAACTTGCGTCCTGCTCTCCGTTCGAGCTTGGCTGGCCACGGGTGAGCTCGTTAATTATCAGGAACAACCCCTCTCCGTGCGGCTGCGACCTTTTCAATTCCTACGCGCATCGTGAATATTGTAGCCAGAAGAGAGCCGAACTCGAGCCTCTTTGTTTGCTATGTTCGGTCTGCTTTTTTGTCTCCGGTCAAAAACATAAAGATATTTACTGCAAACAGCCTGACGAACTGAAGCAGCCTCCTCCGTCGAACGTGTCTACGGAATGTGAAAAACATGCAAAGCAGCCGACCACCAGAGCCAAAGAAGCCACTACAGAAGTAGGCTCAGCCATGATGATCACCGGTGAAAGTCACACGACAAGCTCTGAGCCGATTCGCGATTCACCCAACACGCTGCGAGTGACTTTATCGCGAATAAACCATTCTCCATCTGAGATTGACGCTTCTCGTTCCAAAGGCGAAGCACGGCTGCTGCAGTCTACCCCGAAAGCTGTTCCCGCTACCGCATCGGTTACGCCGAGCCCCGAAAAATCCAGACCGCAGAAAAACACTCCTCTCATCGATGGTTCGCACCACAACACCGAACTAACAAAGTCACCCTACACCACCTACCGCTCAGAAACAAGTGCTGCACAGACAGGCGTCTCAACTTCTCCCCCAAAATTGAGCTCGAAGAAATCAGCTGGCCAAGAACGCGATAGTAATATTCTTTACATCTCGATCACCATGTTTTCGATCGCGATGGCTCTGACGTTCATCGTCTGCTTGGTTCGTCTCCACGTGTACGGGAGATGCAAACTACCCTACAGAGATCGCAGTGAAAACGCCAACCCGGGAGCAGGCTCCAATTCCATTCCCCTAAACCAGATGGCGCAGCCAGACGCTATTAACTATGAAAACCGGGGCACCTGTACAGAAGAGAATCTCGATGCCTCGGAGAATGAATATGCTACAGTTGATGAGAGCTATGCGGAATATGAATACTGTGCGTGTCCGCAAACAGCAGGCATGGCTCGCGGCGCACGGTCCTGCCTGTACTCGCGCACGCCAGACATTGACTCTGCAAGTAACAGCGCTTACGGGCATAATGTTGTGGGAAACCCGAGTGATTGATAAAAATCATTGCACTTAAGGCATCCAATGCAGTGTTCATAGGGCAAAATGAAGGAGGTTGTTGTTAAGAACTGATGAATGGCAACTAACTGCTTAATATTGACAGCATTGGAAGGATGTTGTACAAGTTGACAAAATTGTTTGTTGCGAACATACGTTGTTACTTTATGATAGTGATTTTTCTCTTCTTAAAACAAAGAACTAGAAGAGCTAGATCGTGTTTTGACGACAAAAATGTACGGAGAAACTGCAAGCAAACAAGAAATTTTAAATTTTAGAAGTAAAAAGAAAGGGCGGGGCTTACTTCAACTGGTTTTTAATTTTGAGACCGGATAAATAAGACGTGTCTTCTCTGATACATAATGCATTTTGTCCATGTGAAGAAGTTCCCATTTCGATGACAATGAGTCGGCAGTCCGACATCTCATTCCTAGAGTGTTTCTATATTTTACTCGTACTAGTAGACTGATTACATTGTGATAGCAGATGTCACTAGTAACCTCCGCGTATTGTAATCACAGAACCAATCTGAAATCTTCATGTTTTTAAAAATCTACTCAGCTACAGGCCTTGGAATGGAGCGCGACAGACAATAACTTGTATAAGAGAAGAGACAGGAATTTGCATTATGTACGTTCTTTCACACACGCCAGCTCGTATGTACACGTGTCTAGCAGACACTAGCGACTGTATGTGCACGTGGTCTTATGTTCTTAAATGTAGAAAAAATACTCGAGCTCAAGCACGCAATAAATGATGTTGATGTAATGTGATCGAACTACAATAAGTAATCTTATAATATTAAAGTAGAGGTATCAAATGTATATGTGTCTAGTGACTGTACGTGGTCTTGAATAATAGTGTTCTTCAAAGTAAAACGTAGAAAAAAAGAATACTCAAACGCACAACAAATGATGTAGATGTAATGTGGTCTAACTAAAAAAAGTAATATTCAGTAGAGGTAAAAAAAGTAGAAGTAACAAATTAAAATGTAAAAAGTGACTATATGTGTAAAGTGACTGTAAGTGGTCTTAAATATGGTCTTCAAAGTAAAATGTAGACAAAAAGAATATTCAAACGCACAGCAAACGATGTAGAGATGATGTGGTTGATTCTTTTCAAACTACAAAACGTAATGATAATCTTAAAGTTTGGGTGAGAAAGACAACTTTTCAAAGACGAGGAAGGAGGTATGTATTGTCTGCTTTTTAACCCACATAACTTCATCTTTTATCTTTTAACCGTTATGTGTACGTAATTCATTGTATGTACTAAGAAAGGTGTAATAAAAATAAGTTGAGTAGTATCTTCATAACTTGTGTAGTCAATTATTTACGAACAGTGGAGCAAAGGAGCCAATTCTATGCCAAGATATATTGCTTTTATGTAAAGCAGTTGTCACAAGATATCATTCTATAACCTACATATAGGCATGCGGTTCTTCATAGTTTACACTGTAGACTGATCATAGAGAAGACGTCACTAGACAATCTCACGTATTTGATTGCAGAACCAAATTTGAAACTTTTCATGTTTTTAAATTCTACTCTGGCCTCGAGACCAGTGAGTCACCGTGTGATGAGTTTGCAACGGGGGGATTTAAAACCTCTTCAAAAATTTCACTATTTACAGTAGTCCTGATGATCTAAAACCTCTGCAAATATTTCACTATGATAGTAGATGGAGTCCTGATGAGTTTATAGTTTAGACTTGGGGCTGCCATCATTTTCTTCCTCCTCTATTAACTTCTCCCAGTCATACGCCGGCTGTTTGTTGTGATCTGGAATTTAGAATAAATTTTTATTATCTATTTTTCAACATAGCATTTTCAACATAATAGTTTTTTTTTATTTTCATAACATAGCATTAATTCTATCAACATACACACAGCAGTTTTACAGTGCCTACATACAACTGATAAAAAATGAAAATCTGCAAGACCTTCACCTCTTCCTGTTGTAGGACTAGAATAAATTTCCAATTTTGGCACCAAAATCCCACGATATAGCCTATATTATGGCTCCTGCAAGACCTGCATATGTCAAGGTTTATAATAAATCAAAACTGATGTTTCCAGACTTTGCAGACAAATTCAGTCAGGTTGACTTTGTCTGTCTCATTGGTTTTCTTACATACCTGGGATTTCAAAACTATTCCTGTACAGACTCTGACCTCCATCAACCTTTATCGTCTCTCCGGTAATGAACGCAGAAGAAGGAGACAGTAGAAAACACACCGCAGTCGACACCTGAAAAGGAATAACCAATGATATTGGAGCAAGATATCGGTTACAATGACACCCCCTCTAAAATGCATTTCCTTCCTAATCTTAACAAACACTGAAGGACATTCAAAGATTACAGTCCATTGAAAATGCCTTTCTGTGCTATGAAAGCTCCATGAGGCATTGCCAAAAACTGCAGACAAAGATTACAAGGATATGGAGAAAACCTACCTCACATGGATTCCCTAGCCTTTTAACTGGAATGAAAGGAACCTGATTCTCAAATATCTTAAAGCTGGGGTCATAATTCCTTGCTGCACTAGTTGAATAGATGGTTCCCTGTGGAAAAATAATAGTTGATAACAAAACATCAACCAACCTCTTCTGGTTTTCCCAGACGTTTTGCCGGAATGTTGGGGACTTCACGGAGAAAAACATTTTCAGAAGCACTATAGTTTCTGGCGGCAGTGTCTGAGTAGATACTGCTCCCCTATGGTTGCAGGAAGGAAGAACAGTTTTTTTTTTAAGTTGTTGAGAACCTTTTTCCCTCAAGATGAGTGTTAGAACCAATTTGACTGAGGAAGAATTAAACGTTTGATGCTGTAATTCAACTAGAAATTTTCTGAAAAAATCAATCTAAAAACAGAATCATAAGAAATCGAAAGAATACACGAATGTTCTGATCAATATACAGGAATGTTCTGATGATCAAACTGCATGACCACACACATTTGCAGCACTCAAAAAGAGAGAAACACCACACCAAGATTAGTACAGATTAGTTCAGTACAGTCTGAAGTCTACACTGTGAATGATCTAGCCTTGATCTGCATGCATGTGATCTACAGAAGAGTGATCTCACAGGTGCTACAGAGTTGATCCTGATCCCGTTGGCTGCCCATTCCAGCGCAAGGCTCTTAGTCAGGTTATCCACAGCAGCCCGTGCAGCCCCAGTGTGGCTGGGTAAACACAAACAAACAAACAACAAACATTAATACATGAAAAAGTATACCTCAGCAAAGCTACTAAGGTGTGTAAGGAAATAGGTGTAAAGTGCCTTTCCCAGCAACACAGCACTAGGATCTACGTACTAGGGATTTGAACCCAGAATCTTTAGACATTAAGTCAATGAGAAGAGTGTGTGATTACCTCATCAAAGGAAACCCTTTCCACATGTCTGCTATGATGTTGACAATGACTCCACCATTTTCTGCCATCCAGGAGTGATATGCTGAGGAATAGCAAAGGATAAAGTCACTGTTTTATTTTTTATATTTTGACCATCATCAGGAATTAAATATTGTTGATCAGAACAAAATTTTATAACCACTTGTAATGACTGTAGGGTAGTTTCCATTCACACACAGCTTTTCCAACCATAATTACCCAATATTCATGAAATAAATATGAACTATGCATAAAAGAAAATGACCTATTTTTTTCGTTGAAGAGATTCATCAGTCACGTATAGTACAAGTTCAGTAAGAAAATTCTTTCAATCAGTGACTATTAAATCCTAAGGTACATACCTCCGAATTTTCGACGACTGGTCAGTTCGTCTTGATCACGGAATGATCCCAGTCTCGCGAAAGAGCGCGAGACTGGGACGAGGATTTAATAGTCACTGATTGAAAGAATTTTCTTACTGAACCTATTTTTTTAGTTTTACATTCAGTGAATTACTGCAATTTCATACATGTACTTTCAGTGGGATAATCACAACCATATGTAACTTATTTAATGGTTAACCCACTCCATCCTGACGTATTCTGTAATTAACACCAAGTTCTTTATAAGCCTATCCATAGCAAGTTGAGGGTTAAGTCACCTTCCCTACAGCAGAGGAATGTTCCGTTAAGGTTGGTGTCCACCACAGCATTCCAGCCCTTAAGGCTGATGTGGGCAGCTGGACTGGGGAACTGACCACCCGCATTGTTCACCAGGAAGTCCAGCTTTCCAAACTCACCAATGGTCTTGGAAAATAAATTTTTTACCTGAAAAAAAAAAAGAGAACTTATAAGAACTAGAATGCTACCTTCACATATTGTCTAGCCTCAGAAAATACTGCTCTGTTTATTCTTACTTAAGCACATTCGTTTATAATGTAGTCAAAGTCATAATAGATGGAGACCAGTTCCTCCAAGGACATTATACAGTGAAAGCAAGCATAGAGTAGAATCTTCGGTAGCGTATGACTGCCGTCCAGTTTTGACCGCTCCTCATTATTCATCAGCTCATCTGACCATCATAATAAACTTATATTAAACTTATACAAACATAATAAACTTACATCTTGCTCCTTCCTGATGTTACACTGTAGAGCCCTGACCTGAGCAGAGCTGTCTGTGGGGATTTGAGATGACATTTCCTCCGCTGCTGTTCTAACCTTCTCCTCACTACGGGACGCAATCATTACTTTACATCCTGTGGGAAATAACGTATAGTCAACATAGCCAAGAAGTTCTAAGTAAAATTTGTATTTGCATGTAAGTGTATGTGTCTAGGCCATGTCTTTAATAAACAACACATGGTCTCTGCTTGAATTTAGAACCTTTATTTTTGTTTGAGGTATATCATCTCTAAGGTACGTTGGTTTTGTATTAATAGCAAGGCAAGCAAGCATAAATTTCTTGTTATTGTTTGGATTTATTTGATGTTCCCCCCAGGGCACATTGAAAATCGTCAAAGCTAACGTCAAGGTTTTTCAAATTGCAACATAAGATAAACAAACAAGCTCCTGACTTCTATCATCACGATTACAGGATTTACATTGAACTTTTTTCGGACTTTTTGTAATCTTTGATAGTTTACAAATTTAAGAATCGGGAACGCCCCTCCCCACAACGCACACTTGCATGGGAAATATGTTCATGACAGACCAAATAAAAGCTTCAATACCTAGGTACAGTAGTTCTTTAGTTATGGACTTCCCTATCCCTGTCCCTCCTCCGGTTACGATGGCGACTTTGTCCGTAAAAAGTCCCTGTCTGAAGGCAGAACGAACTCGCAAACCTCCGGACGCCATCTTGGACTTTGACCTTTTGCCCTTTCAGATAGTCCACTTCAACATATAGGGGGTTCTCTTCCTCTTGTTCTTGTCTTTGAAAAATATTTCTAATTCCATAAAATGTCATGGCTTCTTTGCTACTATTCATCGTCCAATACAATAGACAATATAGTTATGCAAATTCTACACCATTTTCTTGATTTTTTCAATTATATGATGTTACTTTAAAAAAACATGTTGACTAAAAATATCAACCCCAAAAGTCAAAATGTTACACTCCGAAAGCAAGATGGCTGCCTGCGCCGAAAAAAATCTGACGGACGAAGAAGATTTCGACGAAGATGTTGTTTTTGAGAATTCTCCGCTTTACCAACATCTTCAAGACGTTGGACAGTTAGACTTTGAAGTCGGTAAGTTTGTAAAAGTTTGATTACTACGATTTCTACATTTGCAAATTGTTTTTATCGTGAGGCGGGGCGAGTTGTCATCAGAAAATAATTTTATCGCTTGTAACAGCTGATGTTGTTTTGACTACATTTTATTGGTCATCAGAGGCAAATTAACAGTAGTTTTACCGCTTATAAACGCATTTAATACTAAATAAGACAGCTACTTTTAAATCACACAACCTATTTATTGCAGAAATACTTCCAAACACACGTGTTTTTGCCATCGTATCCGACCTTCGCTACGTGAAAACCTTCCCCCAAACTTTTCCGTCTATTTTTAGCGCCGCACACCCCGGATGACATTACCGTGGCCACAGTTGTTACATTCTTCTTCACGGTACACTAAACTGTTACCAAGCCCGGCATTATCATAGCTGTTCCCCCGTGGGCTAATATGGGCATCACTCCATGCTTAAAACCCTCACGCGTTTGTGGCTTGCAAAACCTTTCCCTCGGTCGATTTTCTAAAGGTTTACATCTGTAATACATGAGTTTGTCAGCTTAAATCTTTATGTTTTATAAAGAGGAGTGAGATGATGCACCATTTATAGAGAAAGGAGGAGCAATACGGGATTATTTTACTACAAACCAAACATCACAGTGTGGTGAGAATCGTCCTTCAGCAAATTTCACACCCGTGTCAGACAAGAGGGCAGGGCCTTATGGTCATGTGTACCCTGGTGTTAGTAGTACCAGATGTTAGCATTACCAAAAACAGCAGAGCTTTAACCAACAGGATTCCAGCCTATCCTAGAAGTAGGTCAAAATCCCGTATTTATGTGCGTGTACTAGCGGGTAGGTACATATGTAGGCTTGCTATTTTTACATGCATTTCTGATTGCTTTTACGTACGACTGTTTGCAGGGACGACAACTTCAAAATGTAAACGGGAAGCAGAGAGCCTGACAGGAGCGCCAGGGTACCAGGCCTGGTTCAAAGGTGTCGTCATGTCAGTCCTGGGAAACATCCTCGGATTTCTCCTCCAGGTTGGAACATTTCCAAAGCGGGTGTTAGCAGAGGTCGAGCGAGGTTACGTGAAGCAGTACGTTTCCCTGTTGGTCCAGTCCAAACTTCTTCTGGATGACGACCACCACTTTCTCCAACTGTATGACCCGGATACCTACAGCGGTGACGACACAGATACAAACTGGTTTCTCTCAACAGATACACTGAAGCTGGAACAGTTCTCCACACATTTCGGTGCAGCAGTAGTCCTAGCCATCGCTCTTTTCCTCCAACAGAACTACTGGTTGGTTGTAACACTGCTGGTTCTGCCAGGAGCTCTATGTTTAACCGGCTGGTTTGCATTGTTTATCAGAAGACATCATGAACATAAATCAACCGTGACCTTGTTAAGGACGTGGTTGGTGGAAGGGGAGAAGTGCGTTACCCTCGCGAGAAAGAGCTTCCGTCACATCCAGGAGAGAGAACTGGTAGCACGAGGGTTTACCATGGTCCACGGACAAGTTCCTTTAGAGAGAATGATCCACAGTCGGCTGTGGCAGAGTCAACAACAGTGTGCATCGCTACGGGCGACTCTTGTCCGCGTAACTTCGGACATGATACAGCAGCACAGGAAGGCAGTTCATCAGCTGTTACAAGATTATCCACTCAACTCAGAAGTGGACAACACCAACAGTTACATCAGTGTTATACCACTACAGGAACTCACCAATCAGCTTCTGAATGATACATCGCAGGTTTGTACTTACCTTACCTTTATACATCAATCAGGACTTAACAACATTCCAGTTAACCCTAGAAAATCTTATATGTTCTGAAGATGAAATTACGACTTATTTTCTGTCAAATAATTTAAATGACCCACATGTGCCATGAAACTAAAGGACGGCATTTAAAAGTGTATTAAACTTTCCACCATTACATTTTCCTGTACATTTCTGATGTACAGTAACAGCTTTCATCAGTCCTTGTACATTAGTGTCATGCTGGAAGCTAAAAAATGTGGCACTGGACTGTATGCCCTCTAATTACTGCACACAATAAACAAGAAAGCTTTTATTATGTTATTTTCAATGCAAAATCTGTTTAGCTGTTATATGACTCCACCATACATTTTGATCAGAAGAACATGTGGACATCAGATTGTAACTTGATAAAACTTGCATGTGTTCTAAAGTCATTACAGGAGGTACAGTACATACACTAGTCCCAGTGTGCAGTGATACTGGTACAGTTCTATATTTAGTTTGCCAGCCGACAGCTGCAGCCAGCCTGGTACACGTGGTTAGTATGTAGAGGTCAGGGGAGATATGGGTCTGTGGTTGTCTCAGATTAACGAAGAATGCGTCTGGCCTAGTTATATCTGGACTGAGATAGCAGATGACCATCACGTGCATAAAAACCTGGTGGTGAATTATGAGCATGACCATAATCACATTATGGCAGTTCACACTTTATCCTTAAAAACTGCTCGCATCAAACGCCTAAAAACATGTCAAAAAGAAGCCGAGGCCCAAACCCCTGTTCATTGTTGTTGTACTCTTTGAAGCCTCCATCCGTACTTTTACAGGTAGAAGTGAACGATGACAACAGTTCACTGAAATCACTGAAGAATCTAGTCCAGCTCCAAGCTGACCAAGTGTCTGAGTTCGTCCGACGATTTGCCCTTGGCTTTTCACCCTCCACTCACCACACTTCCGAACCCACCCACGGTCAAGAGGTCATCTCATCCTTTAGGGAAACCCTGCAGAAGTTGGGAGAAGTCTCAGAGAGTGGGGCAAAGGTCTTGGAGAAGCAGTATGACTTTCAGACGAAGTATGGTGTGGCCAAAGAGCAGGAGAAGATGTTGAGACCTGAAAACAGTCCGTTGGTGGGTCTGCATACAGCCATTCACAGTCTGGGACTACATCTGCAAGTCACCATGTCTAGGGTATGTATGTATGTATTAGCTACCAAGTTTGTGTCAAGTGTCAACATGAACATAAAAGTATGTTTTCATCATTCAACTGAGGACGTTATATATTATATCATGAGGAGGTTATATATTATATCATAGATATAATTTCCTTGATTCAACATATATAGATGTACCATTAACATCATGGTGGCCACTGTTTTCTCAGGTGAACTCAATTGAAGGCAGCATCTGTGCAGCTATGGATGTCCCCCAGCAGGATTGGACTGAACTGCAGCAGGAAGTCATGCAGCAGCTACAGGAAGTGGAGACACAGCTGCAGGCCTGCAAGGAATGCTGGGAAGAGGGATCCAGACAACTCCACAACCTGGATGACAACACGACGGATGCGGCGCGCTCTCATGTCGACTCGGATTCCGAGAGTGAGAAACCGATCGATAGCAGGACAGTGGAGGACGTGATTTCTGTTCTCCTGGTTTCCGCAGACGCGAATGATGTCATAGGCGACCCCCTGATAGAAGAGCAAGTGTTTGAAGCGTACATCAATGAAGAGCACAACACTGTAGACGGGGATGGGTACGATCCACTGTTGACTCCAGAAGAAAGGGAACAACAGAAAAAGGAGAGAGCCGAAGCCAAGAAGATGGTGAGAGAACTTAAGAACGTCTTAACCGTACGGAAGCAAGAAAGGGAAAGGAAGAACAAAACAGGAGACGAGGAAGCAAAAGAGACAGTGAATAATCCTCCCAATGTCTTAAGTGAGCCAACTGAGAAGACGAAAACTGAAGATGTAGTAAATGATGGAAGTCTAAGACAGCAGTTAGAAGTTCCAGAGCAGGATGACGTTTTAAGACGTTACAGTCCCGTGATGTCAGATGTCTATGGAAGTGGCCGAAGATCAAAAAGTTCATCATTTGATGAAGAAGATACAGACCTAACTGATAGAGTCAGGCTAGTGGCACAGGACAACGAGTCTCATTTGTACAACACTTCGGAAGAGGATGGAATGAACCATTGTGAAGTGAATGGGGGAGTAGAGGTTGACTGTATTCCCAAACTTGTAAATGGCAACATAGAACAAGTGGCTAGGGGAGCATGTAACGGAACAGATAGTAGGAATGGACAGAACCAAGATGACATTGCGGTTGAGGATAGATGTAGGAAAAGCGGTTATGCCAGATTGTCTGAAGGTAGCAGTGAGGAGGGATGTGTGAGTGGGCAGGCAGGACTTGGCGGGTACTCCTTCCAGGCTAGTCTGGCAGCCCAGGCCGTGGCAAGGTCACGCCAACTGGGACTGGGGGCAGCCATGCTGCAGGAGCAAAGCTTTGGGGACGAGGAAAAGTTTGGTTCTGACAGCGATGATGGTGGAGACTAGGAAAGAAAGACAATCTTACAGATTCCTTTGTCCAACATGTAGTTACATATACGTGTATGTCTTGTAGTATATCTTACATGTATTTGAGTCTTTCCAACCATTACTAATTAAAGGTGCTACTTGCCTAGCTGGTTGACCATACTTCAAAAGTTACATACTGAAGCCTGGGGATCAGGTATTCAGCTTTCTGTTCCAGACTAACAAGAGAGCTAACAATTTCATTATAAAGCAACCTTAGACCATTATGACAGATAAGAAGCGACACACTTAATTACAACAGTTCAGGTCAAAATGTAGTATTGACATTTTTTGAAAGAATACTTGCTATCAAAGCGATTTTTAGCTCTTAGTATAAAATTTAAGTCTTTCTGCCCTTCTTGTACTCTGAACTGTTAATAAAGCTTCCTGTCAGAGACTACATGTCTATTAAAAGTGGTAGCAATGATGAATAGGAGTGCTCATGTATAGTAAAGGCATTTGTATGATGTGGTTGTGACAGTGTGTCTGTATGTAAGAAATGAATGTAAGAGCTCGTACATCAGTTAAGACTGATGAACACAAATGATTTTTTATTTTCTAGAAACAACCAAACTACTCAATACAATGTTGGCCTACAATGTCACAGTCCTACAATCAACATTTCATTCCACTGTCTCCTGAATTGTCTCTAAAGAACAAAATGCTACATGACGTTGTCTTATAATGTGTAACTGTACATCAAGTATTTATGTATTGCATTTTATTTGTCATTGGCTGAAGATGGGAATTTTCCAGTCCCAAATGGTATTAGAATTGCTACATTTTTACAATAATTGTAACCCACATTTCACAAATACAATGTAGTTCAGGACTAATTCCCAAACATTGTCTTCAATGAACCTGTTCTTGAAGACACAATTAAGTTCAATTAGCTGTTTGTCTGACATTTCTAGCCCAAAAATCTGGATACATGTACATGTACTTCACGTGAAATTGTTGTCAAAAGGTCATGATGAAAATTTTTGGGTACACATAATGTGTTTCCTATGCATGAAAAAAACAGGATCAGATATAAGTGATATGGCAAAATTCTGAAATATTGAAACCTTGGTTACTGAGAACCAACAAGAGAGGTTTGTTGTAATTATTTGGGAGACCAAATCAGTAACAACATAATTTATCAAGAAATAACTGACAGAAATGATAGAAAAATCCAAGTTTTGTGTTGGAAATTTCAGTTGTTCAACCTTGTTGCATAATGATTTCTACCCAAGACATTAGAGAGTCCTATATAATGCCATTGTTTCTACTAATCCAGATGAACGTTCAAGCTAAGATTCAGCCCTTAAATCAGTGACAGTGAAAATGTTATGCAACACTGACAAGGGTATATACAGTAATCTGATCAGGGTACATTAGAACAAATTTCCTGATCTACAGTAGATGAGCTTTCAACAAATTCCCCCTCCCACATGAAAATTATGTGTTCTATTGACTTGTCTTACACTCACTGAAACCCTGCAAATTGAACAAAAGCTTTGCTTTTGATATATTACACTTGGCTTCATTGGGAAGGTTATTTTACATTTGCATCTATTTTCCCTTTGTACCAAAATAACACCATTATTTGGTAAAAAAAAAATCCCCCACACCTACATTGAAATCTGCATGAAAAATGTTGACTCCACATCAATTTATGTTAGAAATAAGTTTGATATTACTACTGTACTATCGTCCAGAAAAAGTCAATTTACTTGAAAAGCAAAAGATGATGTACTTTCAACCTAGGTCTTCAAGCACTACTTTAAACACTACATGTACCTTGATAAGAAACTATAGCTGCGAAAGACTAAAACCACCCAAACCAGTATTTTTACGATGAAAATTGATTTGAGCATACTGTAACTGTGATTTACGATTACAGAGACTTAATTTTGCTGTAGGAGGGGAAAGTAGTTTCCATATGAAACATAACAAATGTAAATTATTGCATGTTTATTGTGAAAGAGTTCTCAGGCTTTCAGTGCCATGCAGTCCTAAATGTAGAACAAATACAAAACCCAGTTTGGTAATATTCGCTGTGAAACTTGATGTTGTATGTAGACGTACAAAAAGTAGATAACAAATCAACAGATCAAAATTTGTACATACTTGCACAAGTCCATCCACCAAGAAAAGACAAAAATAAATGCAGAACTTCGATATGTTGTATTAATAGAAATTCATCCCACATTTGCATAAATCCATTTAAGATAATAGCCAATATAAACTGTGGCAACCTAATGAAATTAATAAGGCAGAATTACTGACCATAGACAATTGAAATACATGGTCATTATACATATTAATAGATTAGACATACCCATGAATAAAGGCATGTTTGAATAGTTCCGAGTATCATGAAATTGATACAATTTCTGGGATGTGAAGGGAGGATCATTTCAAACTTGTACATTAATGTCAGTTGGAGTCTGAATTAGGGGTTATCATGAATATGGTACTAATGATCATGGTAATGCTAAAACCCCTACACCAGCCTCCAATCCCTTTATACATCTTTGATGTAAGATGTTTCAACAACACAAAAAGCAGAGTTACATGACAGCTATATGTATTGTTTGCAGATTTGTGTTGCTACAATTTTATTCCTTGTACTAGTGTGTTGGTTGAACATGACACAAAAATTATCAGGACTCCCACCCCAGCAGCATTTAGCAGGATAGAATGCAAGTCAACAGTGACTACTAGTATTCCTAATGTTTTATAGTGTAGATTCATCAAGCTACATTGTACTTTCTGGGTTCCATGCAAAATCCGGGCTGAGATAGTGAACACTCAAGTCATCTAATGGTCAAAACTAAATCACTACTACTAGTTCTGGAGCGTCTAAATTGCATTTGTATACACTGTTTTTTACACACTTTTTTGTAACCTTACATCAAATTTTTTCATTTTTCTTCTCAAAAACTTCTCTCCTCTGGATGAACTACTGGATCCTCAGGGGGGAGGGGGGGCGGTGCAGATGGTTGATTGACAGCTGGTTCTTGTTTACTTCTTGGAGGAGGTTTTCCTGCTGGGTTTCTTGTTCTTGCTGGATGGTCTCTTCCCCTTCTTTATCAACATCTTGTTCTTGATGAATCCTCGTTTTCTTTTTCCCGACTGTGAGAAGGCAAAATAGACATCAGTGAGAATGATGTGAATGTAAAATTCAAAAATGAGAAGTAGATGTTGTAGTTCCTTTACAAAGAAAAAAAATGATTAGAACAACCCAGTCGAATGAAAGCCCATCTGTATTGGTAGAATCCATAAAGTGAAAGTGATCTTGATCCAGTTTAGCTCATTGAAGAGCTAATCTTCTACTGGTCGTGACAGAGAAGACAGACGCTATGTACAGTATTTACAGGGTCATTGTACCGGGGAAATTCCCCTAGCTCTTTTCGACAAGCACAATGAACAGTGGACCACGGTTAACGTCCCGTCCAAAGGACTGCGACCCTAAACAGTAGCATGCATGTCAGGTGAGCGACATCAGCTGGGATTCGAACTCCCAACCTCTTAGTCCAAAGGCAGGATCGCTAACCACTGGACTACGCACGCTACTATCTACTACTACTATCTCCATAGTTGTGGAGCTTACGCTTACTTCTAACACAAACATGATGAGCTTAAACTCTACAACCACAAATGTATATAAAAACCCATGTTCACCTTTCTGGAAGTGAACTTGGTTTTGGGCTTGATGTCAGTCTTCCTGACGGTGTGGTCTAATCTAACCCGGTTGTCCTGTTTCTTGACCTTGTAGATCCTGACCAGCCAGTGTTCCGTGGTGTAGGCCTCCTCCAGGTGCTGGAAACTGATGTCTTTGTTCCCTATCTCCACGTTCCTGGTCCGGTCAAAACCAGGGGGAGTTCGGAAGTCCAGCTACAAAAAAAAAACCCACAATTTTCAAAATCATGATTGTCTTGAAATGGACAAACATTCATTTTTGTAGGCCTGTTTCTGTTTTGTAAACTTTCCCATATCTTCTTTTTTGACAAGAATTTGTATGTACTAACCTGCATCTCCCCAAACCTGTAGTAGCAGAGTTTGTACATGAGACAGTTCAGCAGGGTCTTGGAGCCGGCCTTGTCCACTCGGAACTCTCCTTGGGGGGTGAAGTAGTCACCTTCCTAACAGGGACAGGAAAAAAGACTTCTTATACCCATAAATGTTACCTTTAGGCCACACCAATTTAATTTGTTGGTTCTCGGATTTTTTCAGAAAAAAAATGAAGCGACAGGGCGAAAAAAAATAAAAATAAAAACAGGCCTAGGCATCCTATTATAGCCCCAAATGCTTCGATTGGAGCCATAAAGTCAACACAAAAGGCTGGGATAAAATTTAAACAATGAATTTTGAACTTTTAACCAAACCACTGCATCAAAAGTTTGAAAAACTGTAACAACTAGGAAGAAAAGGACTTTCCTCAACTGTTGGGAGCAAAATATGAGCATCTTTTAGATTATTCAGAACCAGAATTTTTTTTTTTTTTTTTGCAAATCAAGAAAAAAATGAAGAGGCGAATCCGAGAACCAACAAATTAAATTGGTGTGGCCTTATAGTGATATATTTAGTCAATCTTTAAGCTATTATTAATCCATTTATCCATTCACAGATCCAACCTGTCAACCAACCATCCATCCACCCAAACACCCACCCACCCATACACCCAACCCACAAACCAACCACTTACCCTGATCTCCTTGGGGTGTTCCCCCTCTGCAATCCTCACCATCCACAAGAACTTGTTGATGTCATCGCCTGAGTAGCCAATCACGCCTCCGAATATAACCAGCACATAGTCCACATCCAGGGCCTTCATGATCTCATAAGCCCTCGTCTCATTGGACGACATGGCCTTTCCAACCTGTAAAACAGCAGCAGTAGCCAATCATCAGTGTCTGACAAATATAGTATGTCATATTACAGCTGTCATATAATTGGAACCTAGATGAATTCTACAGCACTATGCAAAGCTTCTAGCAAAACTTTACCTGTAATGGTGGCTGTGTAGTAGTTTAACCTTTTCTAAGCTGCATAATCTGCTAATTGTAACAAATAAGAACCTGTGAAGACATGCTTGATAAGCCAAAGGTTAAAGTGAGTCAGACTTTACCCGTAATATTGGCCATGACACGACACACAGGAAAATATACAAGCATAAATACACTGACAACTTTGGTAAGCCAAGGGTTATGAAGAGCCAGACTGACCAGTGCTATGTGGCTGTTGTTCCACGTGTTGTTGTCCACCAGAGTGGTTCGGTTGGCCATGCCGGCAATCTGGTACCCGTAGTCCCACCACGACATCACGCGGGAGTGGTCGTCCGTGTTCTGCCTCAGCCAATAGTACGCCTCCCTGAAGTCGTCCAGGATGTTGCGGGATCCGTCGTGGTTGTAGGAGGCGAGCACGACGCTGGGGCTGGAGTAGGCATTGCTGGTAACCCAGGTGCAGTGCACCGCGAACATCATCAGGATCATCATGACCGCCATCACCACGATGGTCTTCACGTTCCCGCCCAGACTCTCCGGCTCCCCGCTGGGCTCGTGGCGAATCTTCCTCACCTTCCCTGCCTTCGTTAGAAAGGTCATGACACAACGTCAGAAACAGGATACAGGAGTTTTCTTTTACACAACCAAGATAGTTTACCTTGCTGACGTTCGGTGTCTATCGACACCTTCCTACCTACAGTGGCGAGAAGCAGAACTCCAGTCAGAAGCTCTGAGGAAGGTGTCTGATAGACACCGAAATGTCAGCAAGGTAAACTATCTCGGTTGTGTAAAAGAAAACTCCTCTATCCTATACTTTACCAACCTGATGAAGCTATTTTCGGTTTGTAGTCATGAAACCAGGGCCTGTCAGTTATGGCAGTGGATTGATTTTTACCTCTGCTAAGGATATATTCTATCAATGTTAATCTGTTTATTGTCTTTTGGGTTGATTGTGTTGAAGAATATGTATACCTTTAAAAACGTCTCTGAAATTCAATGAAAACTGCTGGTTACTTGGTTTATAATCAAGTCCCAGTACCTACCAGCTGAGGGTGTTGAACATCACACACACACATATTCATGGAGAACAGAAACATACATGGAATGATTGATAGACTGAGGGAAGGTAGTGTGAGAGGAGTATGGAAGAGTGCTTCTATCCATCTATGTAGAGCCATATCTTTATATATTTTATACATCTAGTTGTTTTCTGTATCTACAGTATACAGAGTGTGATTCTAATCTCGTGTGTATAAGTTTGTTTGGTGAAAGAAAGAATGAAAGATAGGCAGAAGGAGGAGTGGATAGTGGACAATGACCCAAAAAAGAAAAATGAATGAACAACAACTTACTGTTTTGGTTACCTTATCATACAGATCTTTGCTTTTGTTTCTTTTGTCACCCTCTTCGTCATCTTCGCTTTCGTCCTCGATGTGGTGGACTTTCGGCGTGTCGTCCACGAGGTAGCGTTCCAGTACGTTAGAGAACGCGATGGCGGAGAGAATGCAGACCACAGGCGTCAGGGTCAGCATGAGACGAACCATCACTCCGGCAAAGTAGCTGGCACTGATGGCGTACAGCACAACTGTGGAGAGGTGGGAGTTTTCAATTCTTATATTGTACTTTGCCATCAAAAGTACATATCTTGCACATACATGCTTAATACACAATGTATCAGATTACCCCTATCAGATTCCAATGTACAAATCTGGTATTCAAATTTTTAAAAGCAGTGCAATCAAAAGGCGTTTGAAGTATTCTATTGAACATTTGGAAGGCCGTATGATATTACCATTATAGAAACCGATCATATAGCTAGTTATCACACAGGCCAGAACACCCATATCGAACGTTATCATGGCCCAGGTATGACAGAAAATCAAGTATCTGCGGCAGGGCTGTAGCCAACTCGATTTTCTTCCGTCATGATTGGGAAATTAGCTTTAAAAATGCAATTTCCCAAATTTTGAGAGGCAAACAATGGATTGAGGGTGGTTGTCAGTGGTTCTTCAGATGTTCTTATATTTTTACCAAAGATTTTTTCCATCACACCCTGCAAAGTTTGGGCAATGGACGGAAAAACAGACACTGGCTAGAGCGCTTACTGTAAATGCATTTATGTTCGCGAGGACTAAATTTCGCGCAACGGAGCAAATAGAGAGTTCGCGAGGGATTTTAGTTCGCTATACAGCAGAACCAAATACAAAAGGGAATGCCGACTTTTGATAATCGCCGGATAACCAGTGATTTTCCGCGCACCCCCTTTTTCATCATGGGTTTGCCCGGCAATATTTTTCTTTAGTCACGCAAAATCGCCGGCTATGGAATTTTTAGGAAAACGCTACGGTGATTTGGGGTCAATATTTCGTTAGTTGCAGTTTAAAAATTCACACAGAACTGATGGCTCGCGCAGGAATCATATGCATGGATTTGTATCGTACCGAAGGACCAGGCATCGAACTGTTTGATTTTCACTCGGATATTCAAAGATGAACTCGTAAAATATATTTTCAAAAACAAGAAAACTTTGTTTCCCGGCATTTATCTCTTGAAATACGGCGCTGATTTGACACAAAAATTAGTTTCATGCACCGCACGCGGCCTGTTCAGCTAGCTGTTGTTGTTGACGGTATGCAAATCCCGCGTCACGTGTCCGCATTTCGCGTCTCTGATTGGTTGTGCACCAGCTGGAGCAGTGCTGCGACGGTAACATACAAGCGGGCCGACGCCATGTAAACACATTTTCTTTGTTTGGATATAAGCGCTAAAACGCTATTTTCCACAACCATACACCGATCTTCTAGTTAAGAAATACACAGTTCCAAGAATCTTTCGGGAAAATATACATCTCTATGCGGATTTTTGGCGTTTTCGGCATGATTAGCGTGCACGTAAAACCGGAAGTATACGGACCTCGGCGTGGGTTTGTCGTACCCACGCTACATTTTTTAGCGTTTTTACCCTGCGTTTTCCAGTCAAAACGATAAACAACTCCCGCTACGGAGAACCCAGTAACATTTCAGATCCCAGCAATTATGTTTTTGATAAAAATATTTGTGGATGTACCCGCATTTTAGCCGTATTCCTGTCGCAAGCGGCCCCGCGCCGTGCACGCTAAGATTTTTGTACGCAGTTGACACGGCCTGACACAGGATTATAATAAATACTAGTAAATAATTCTGATACTCAACAATAACGCATAAATATTTTATTTCTTGAAGAAGAGCTGGTCTACTTTTATTTGTGTTCCTGCTGAGACGATAGTTCTACTTGGCTCTGTAGCGTTCATAATTTACCCCCCCCCCCTTGGGCATAACCATATGTCCGGTGGAAACATATGGAAGACGGAAGGAGTGTATACGGTGAACTGTTCGCGAGGGACATGACTTCACGAAGCAAGGCTCTTCGCGAAAACCGCGAAGCTAAATCCCTCTCGAATAAAAATGCATTTACAGTATCTGCGGCCTGAACAAGAAAGCAGAGTCTACCCACTGAAGACTCTCTCGTCGTTAATCTTCTTGATGCAGAACCAGACGCCGGCGGGAAACGTGCAGACTAACACGTGCAGGTCGAAGAAGAAGGAGACCCAGGTGGTCGGCTGGTGCTCCGACACTGACGCGATGATCGGGATGTGGATCTTAGCATACCTGGAGGGGAGGGGGGGAGTGAATCAGAGTTTCAATCTCCATACAAGTCTCCATACAATATATTACTACTTAATGACAGACGGCCATCAAAACTCGGATCTTGCATTGTTAAACAAGTTGTTGTGAATGAAGAATTTTGCTATTCAATATTGTACATGTACATTATTATATTGTACATATATGACAAGACATATACATAAGGCGCATGGCTGCTATCTGATCTTGACTGTGTATGGTTTACAGTAAATAAAACTAAAACAGAAAATAGTGTAAAACTTCCAGTACTGTCACTAAGGGCAACCTGGGTCTCAAAATTTGTGTCCTAGCAATATAAGGCATTTAAAGTCCCATTTACTTGACATACAAGGAATTTGTAGTTCTAAACGACACCCCAACACACGGCATACTCACCCCGTGTCATATAGAGAGTAGAATCTCCCACTCCATGGTGCAACATAACCTGAAATCAGGGATTCATACAACAGACTGTCACAGTTATATGGAGAAATGTGCTGTGGTTAAGAAGAAAAAATGTTTGTTTCAATGGTCAATTTTTCCTGCTTCATCACAATTGTAAAAGATTATGCAAGCAAAAAACCTTCATTTCATTTCAGAAGAAGTAATATTGTAATTGCCTCATACAAGTAAATAGTATATATAAATAATATAAATAAATACACAACTGACCTGCATACGTCAGGTACACCACAGCCATGAGGACTGCGGCCGCTGAAGCAGCTACAGCGAAGAAGAAGAGCGACCTCATCTCAGACTTGGTGAGACTACTCAGGTGCGTGTGCAGGTACTTCAGGAACCCGTACGCAATCAGGAGGGCAAACACACCTGCAGGGACAAAAAAGGAGATCATTTTTGCCTCCATCCCAAAAGTGTGTCCAAAAATTGTCACAAGAGACTAAATACAAAAGCGTAAAACAACTATTTGCTTGTTTTGCAGCTGGTTAACTACATTTGTACCTTTAAACATAACACACTAGTTTTCTGCAGAAAGTACAAGCTACATAACACCAGACCTTAAGGTTTGCTTAAGTGAGGAAAGAGTAGAATTAAAGTGAGGTTGGTATTGGAGCCTGCTAGGGATTTAAACTCAGGATGTTCAAATTATAATCCAACAACCCTAAAGGCAACTATTAAAGGCAATACAAAAATAAACAAGACATTGCATAAAATATCAACTCTGACTAGCACTGATGTGACCAGGGCTGCCTACCGGCTGACGCCATGTGTTCGCTGGTCCTGATTGGCTGGAAGCCGACGAAGGGGATCTGCATGGACAGCAGCAGCCCCAGGATGAAGAACGCACAGTACGCTGCAGGGCAAAGGTCAGAGGTTACAGCCGGGTCACATTCATCAGGTTATGACAGTAAACTGGGGGCATTTTTTTTACCTTGTCAACTGTTTCTGTTATAACCCTGCATCTGAATTAAGAGGACTGGAGTTTGAATCCCGGCTATTATGGATCACCTGACATCCATGCTACTTATAAGCTTGTTGCTGATATGAGATGTTAAACCGGTCAACTACTACTACTACTACTAACTACTACTACTACTACTACTACTACTCCAATAACCACTCCTAACACTACTACTACTTCTACTACTAGTACTACATTTTGTACTACTACTACTACTACTCCTACTACTTACCCACAAATATCCTGTAGGAGAACCTGCCCATGAGAAGCAGTACAAACACGTGCAGCGGGATGAGGTTGATGATGTAGACATACCCTCCCCAGGCAGACACCTGTCAATCACATCACATGTTACCACGGTGATGGTTACTATAGCAACAACAGTAGCAGCCCTGGAAAAAGCGTCTGTCTTTTTGACGGAATTTTGACACTCATGACAAACAGTTTGTCCAATATGTCATCTTTGACATGTAAAGATGTCATTAAACAAAGCTTAGCCTACCACCAAAATTTCCCTGCAAAATAGAGGAAATAGCATTTCAGGGAGTCAAGATTTCAAAATTTCCACGGGGGTGCATGCCCCTGGATCCTCCTATGATGTTATGTAAAACAATATTAAGATGATGAAAAAAAATTCTTGCTGGCTAGAATACTGGACTCTATTGTTTGTACAAACTCAATGCCATTTTGAAAACAGATACAAAGGAAGAAAACGAAGCTGGACTCACCATATAGAAATATGCCAATGCTGTACATCCTGCCCAGAATATAGACCCTGTCTTTACTGATTTAACCTGTGGAAAAGAGGAAAAATGTCTAGTCAGAAAAGGCTATAGCTTTATAGCATACACACCAGGTTATCATTGCTAAGTAATTATTAATTAATCTAGAAAAGTTTGCAATTTTGTATCAACTTCAGTTGTTATCAATTTATTGACAACCAGCAAAAATGGACACACATACAGTGTAGTATGTCTATTTATACATATACTGTTGGCTGCATTTGTAATTTTGTACCTTTAACCATCAGATTATGGACAGCATCCATGTACAGCCATTAAACGGTTAGTAGGGTGAAAGTTTAACATAAGGTTTTTATGTTATATCTTTCATGCATTGAAGGGCTCTCATTTGCAGTGCTTATATACCAGTACAGTACTACCAGTATATAGGTAAATGGAATTGGGCCAGTTTTATACAGTACTGGTTATTCAAGTGTATCTGCCATTGTGTCATGAGTAGCTATAGTAGTGGTAACAAAGTGCTCTGTTCATTTTTTTCCTGAATAGAAACGTTTTACCAAAGATACTTCAGACAACAGAAGTACCCTTGAAGCTTCGTCAGTCGGAACTGCCTTTTGTATGGTTTCCTTTTTTTCTACAGAAAATTGAGCTACAGTGTTGCTACAGTAAGCACACATTTGCTCTAGATAAAAAGGTGATCAGTAAAATTCAATGGTAGGAAAACAGGCCAGTGCTACAAATAACAATCAGTCTATCAATCACCCATACATGTGTATCTCTGGAAAAAATGAATTGCCACACCCCTTTCTCTTGGAATGGTATATCCCACTATGATGGCACATGTCAGCTAAATCAGCTCAGGTGGACTATACCATGTCCCTACGCAAGGGTGGCAAGCCCATCCTTATTCCCATGTTGTTCTACAATCTTTCAGTATCAAGATGATCTTTCACTACCTGACTTTCAAATTGATCAAAACACCAGTCAATGTTAAAATAGAATGGCTCTTCTAACTACTAACATCCTTGTCTGAAGAATATGTGAGCATTTCACTCATGAACGTATCATATGCAACCTTTTGGTGTAACGGATTACAGAATTATTGATTTAACTCTGGGTTCTAGTTTGAATAATTGACACTTAGCCCGCTAAATATGGTCGCTGAAATTGTCTTGTCAGATTCGAGGATTCTCAAACTGTCTAGCTTCTTCAGTTCAATTGATTTTAGGTCAAAAATGAGGTCAGGACTCCACCCAGTTCGACCTGTGAAGTGACCTCTTGAACTAAGAATAGCCACAGTACAATAGTGTACTTCAGACAGTCTGTATGGTAATTTTCTAGCAGGAGAGAGGGTGGGAGGGGGGCAACTGTATGTCTGTGCTGGCAAATCCTTTGGGAGAGAATACGGTTACCAGTTTGACATTTACAAAGGCAGTTCTGTCAAATCCTGTCATGTTTAGAATTCCCCAGACAAATCTATGCTATGTAGACACATTACTGCAGGGAATACAAGGATTATATCGAGGCAGGTGTTTGCGAGTGTGGGTGTTACTCATATGTTGCTTACAGCTAGGTTCAAATCCTTTAGAGTCAAAGTGAAATGTACACAATTCAAGACTCCAATGCACCATCGTATCGTCCAAGATACACCATCGTATTTTTGCCACCCAGACATCAATATGGTATAGGATAGGGTTGATTAAACTTAAAAGAATGTACATTGTACATGTAGATGCCTTTAAGAATGACCTATTTTCTGTATGAATACTTACCCATAGAAAGTAAGTAAAAAGTAAGGCAAAGATGGCGATTCCCTCATTGTCATAAGACCCTGCTACTGATCTGGAGATGTAGCCAGGAACTATGTAGAAGAAAACAAGTCATACTTTCAGTTCCATAGTTCTACATCCATGAAATATTTTTAGAATGATTTGCTATCATTATAGAAATGTGACATTTTTTCTATGTTCTGCAGTGGGTGCCCTGAACTCAAATTTCAAAATTTATTCTAAAAATCATACATTTAGAAACTTTTCAATAAACTATTTAGTGCAGTGTTTCTCAAATGGTGAAAAACATTGCATCAATATAATGTGAATTCTTATTCTTCATCCACAGCATACAAAGCACTACATAGTCACAAGGAAATCAGAGTTCAACAAAGACGTATGGTACGTATGGTACTCAAATTTTAAAATCAAGATCTGAGGATGATTAATATCATCAAACAGTGAAAGTTTCTTACCTATTGCGATGAAGCATGCTGCTAGTAGCCCCGCCCCTTGGCTCCATAATTCTTTGGTTAACAAGTATGTTGCTATGGATGTCAACCCACTGCAAGATAGGAGGCAAAAAGTTCTACCGTTAGATACTGTACAGTCATATATTTTTAGAAGCATTTAATTTCACAGTAGGAATATTGATGGAAAGAGGTTATCACTGTGTTTAGAGTTGGCCGTGAAGAACAATACTTGCAGCGTCACTATATATTTGGAGATTTATGGTAAAATGGCAAACACTGCATTGGAACAAACCAAAGAGGGATGGGGGTGGGCATGAAAGGTTTCTTTCCCTGATAGCAGGCTTTCCTTCTTTCAGCACAATTTTGTTTTTCACAGTCCTTTCAGATGAAATGTTTTATTTTCTTATACCAATTCTGTCAAACTGTGATACAAACAGCAAAACTCTGCAACACTCACAATATATCTTTACGAACTCATCTTACCTGAAGGTTGGAGCTAAGAACACACAGACATCTCTGATATGTACAGTGATGTGGAGACTGTTGAGTAACCAGTGGATGGTGCCTGCTGTTACCATCAGACCTGGGTACACCTGGATACAATACACGTGGGACAATGGCAGTTATAGCTAATGTTGTGTCACACACATAGCAACAAATACAGGACAGACAATACTCATTTTCAAGTGAGGAAAGTGGTGTAAAGTGCCTTTCCCAAGGGCACAAGATCGGTGGCATATCAGGACTCGAACCTGAGACCTCTTGGTTCCGAGTTGAGCACTCTGCCATTACGCCACATGACCCCACCAATCTTTATGATCTTTATTTGCCAAATCATGCCAGAGGGCTAATTGCTTGTACTGTGTCAAGGAAGGTTAGGTGAAAGAAAACTTTTGAAAAAACATTGATTGTAAGAAACTGTCTGAGATGTTGACTACTTACCGTCCCCCCTACTATCCTCCCTAGAGGATACCACGCTCTCTCATCAAACCAGTTGAGGAAGTTATAGAAGCCATAGTTGACCAGGTGGTGCGTGGACCTGTAGTTAAACCTGAGAAAGGCACAAAAACACGGTTAAACATGCAGACAAGACTGACCAAGCTAGCAATTAACATGTGCACAACATTGTAGAAACTTTTAAGCATCAAGCACATTTTGTATGACATATATGGCTGTGTATTTTCTACCTGTAACTGTACCTATAGGCTATACCTGTAAAATTGCTTAGATACAGGTCCTGACTGCTTAATCTAAGAGCAATCTGGTTCAAATCAAATCAATAATATTTGCTGATTTGAAAAATATATTTCTCCTATATACGTATAATATGATTCCTTTTTTGACATATCTTTGATTTGTAGATATCTATTCATCATAAAATATACTGTAATTGTGCAACACTTGCTACAGATATCTTTCTGCACACCTGGAAGAAATTTTTTATTTTCTGCAGCAAATTATAGAACCATTATACAGCCACACTAGTACCCAATTCCTTGCTGCCTAACCCTGTAACCATTACAAATGTGCTGCAAAAGGCTATCTCATCAGTGAGAAAGTTAAATCACAATTCCCCAGGGCAGGCCTAGCACTGTTACAGATTAAGACAAATAACCGTTCTAAATAAAGCCGTAGACAAGATCTCCCTGCTGCAGAGTTTTCTCCATTGGAGGAGCCATTCCTTGCATTGACAAAATATTGATTCCATGGCCTCTGGACCCCTGGGTAAAGATTCTCCATGATTTCTCATTTGCACTCGAGTCATTTCTGACTAGAGAGAAGTGATTCTACTGTCTCAGGTATTGATCTGTGTATTCTGCCATATGATGCTACTTTCTTCCTGCTACAGTATCAAATAATACAGTACAAATAGGCTCTGAAGACTGAAAATTTACACTGTTTTACAGTAGATATTAGAGGGTGGACTATGTGACCAGGAATTTTACAAAAAGTAGACAACATTTTAAAATACCTGCATATAGATGAAACATTAATGGTGAATAGTGGAGACATGGTAGCAATTCACAATTCACTAATATGAACATGTGGTGGTCATGATATAAATTATTAACCATCGGATCTCTGAAGGATTTGTTGTGGCGATTATTGAGCAAATCCTGCGAATTATGGTTCAGAGTAACTACTGATTTATACAAGAATGATTCACTGTAATGAAGGGAATAACTTAAATGGGCTACATTAATTTCATTCTTTGCATTTCAGATTTTTAAATATTACGTGGATTCAAAGAAATTATTGAGATTCTAATGGTTATGATATATTCACATACAGAAATTCTCACTTAGCTAGACTTTTAATACCAAACTCATATTGATTTAGGTTGCAGGGAGAATCAGTGTTCAACAATAGCAGAAGTGGATACGATTTGAACTAAAGCTACAAAATATTTCTGAGCACCCCTCAGTTACAAGTACATCTCACATCAATACTGTATGGAACACTGAGTGCAAATATTTCTTCCAATTAATTCCAGTACACCTTCCAGGATATGACCTTTCCAGAGCGGAAAATTTATTGAGTATATTCCGAAAGCAATCTGGCAATATCAAGCCCTGAATTTCTTTTCTGTATAGTGTAAGTGTACTGAGAGAATTCATCGGCACAACAGCGTAATCCAATTTGAGACAGTTTTCTACCATGAGCAGTTGTCTTCAGGGGTTGTTCAGGGATACAGCCAGCTGCAAGGGTTTACAGTATCATCACCAGGAGAAAAGCAATTGGAATTCTGTAGGAAGGTCTTGGACTCAAATTAAATTTCAACGGGTGCAAGGATGGTGTATTACACTAGGGAAGTACTGTAATGGAACACTAAGAAGCTTACGGGTCTGTACAGAGGCTAGGACATGAGCATCATGATAAAATATTATGAAGCAAGTTTAAATTGCAATTTCTAACACTAAACCCAAATTTTGGTCTAGTATGCTTTTGCTTTTGCAAAATAACACAAGTTGACCTGTCTTGCTCTCCAAAATCTGATATACCAGTAATATTACTGTTACTTTAATCTGGTCCAGGTTCAGGCCTGGACTTGATCAATACATTGGACCTAGATCTGTATTTGGACTTGATCAAGCTGAACCAGTACCCACCCCTTAGGTACAACTAACTTCTTTGCCTTTCTGGAACAGAGCCCACAAACCTTTTCATAGTTGTAGTCTAGACAGACTTTCTAGGAAAAACTTCTTCAGTGTGGATGCTCCTTTTAGCTGCTAGAGTAAAATCAATGCATGATTCTATACTAGGTACATTTGGTAACTGACCAGAGAAACCTTTGCCTCCTCATACAAGAATTTCAAAATAGATTTATCAGGTTAGTCTTTCTAACTACTGTAAAAGTAATTCGATGGAAGGACAAACTATACATCTCATTTTACGGATGGTTTCAAATCAGGGAACTGATCTCTAGACGCCTAACAGAGGACACGTTTCTGTCTGTCTGACATTTGAGCTTGGCCAGGATACAAGACTAATTCGTCGCCAATTTTGTCTGGTCATAAAAGATACATACTGTAATATATGGGAAGCAATCCAGGCTTCCAGATAGGCAGCCAAATACCCTCTGTGCCAGGCAGGAATGGGTTTTAGATGCAATCGTGACCCGGCTTTTACAAGGACTTTTGACGTCAACATTTATATGGAACTACTGCTAATGGTACTATGACTGGGAGGGGGGGTTAGTAGAAAGACTTCAAGGGTTTAGTGCTATCGAATTTGGAAACAAATTGTCTACTTAGGTAGACTTGCATTTGGTTTCTTGCAGCAGAAACAAAATCAGAACTCAAAATGTTACCTGCTTATGCAGGTTGGTGCAGGTAAAATTACAGGTATTTCTGATGTCTTACTGAACATATTAAACCTGCAATAGCCCAGGTCCCTGGTAAAAATGCCATGCATTCACAATAGTATCATCCTTTGATACAGCAAATACCATTTAAATTAGTGCAACACATTTTCCAAATGCTATTTTGAATGGACTAAAGGGCATTACAAAATGAGTGGAGCAGAAAAAAACTGTCTGGGGCAGGTGACTTTGGAGTTATCACCCACTCCATGCAGTTAGAATTTAGAGGCCTGAAAATGTACATTAGAATTGCCATAGAAATAAATTGGTCTTTTCCAAAGTAGTGAAAGTTTTATTTGCTAAAATTCTGCACAGAGTGGCCACAAGCCATCTAATGGCAGGTTTATTTTCAATTTACTGCGACAAAAAATGGGTAGCAGGAGGAAAATCTAATAGAGCTGTTATACATTTTTAATGCAAACCTGGAGGGAATATACCTTTTTATGTCCAGGTCTGCATAGATAATGATCCATTCTGATATGGATATGGAGGAATAGCTTTGCATATCTAGTTTGGCTTGAAAGTTCAAACTACATGTATATTGAAGTAAAATTTTAACCACTGTAGTGACAGATATTACATGACAGTTGTATTGTAATTAAATGATCACATGTTATTTGAGGGTTTCCTTTCTGAATAACCAACCAAAGACAATTGCTTGCGTGTGAGAAGATCAGGGTTATCAGTGTGACAGATACACCAGAGTTAATATGTCTCCAGGGCACATGAAGGATTTGGTTGTGACATATCCAGCTAGGGAACAATCAATTTTCAGTAAGCGGTTTCTGTTAGAAATAGAAAAAAAAATAGAAATCATAGTGTCAATAGATTTAACTATCACTTGCTTGAAAATAACAGTTAAAACTAATTTTTTGAAGGTACAACATAATAGCTTCTGGTTAATGCCCCTTTTTGTATTTCAGTGTCTTTTTATCTGTATCAGTCTGCATCTGAAATAATGTATTTCACATGCGCCATTTGCAGTCCCAACTCAACAGGGACCCATTGGAATACATGCATAATGAACAGTTCTTTGTCTTCATTATAACACACTTACGTAAGCTTGAACCCAGACACATATCTTAATGCGATGCCTTCGAATGAATTCCATTCTTCACTTCACAATTGCAAGAGGAGTATCTAACAATACATGTATCAGCTTGAGACATGTAAAAACTAGTACAATTTATTACAATTTTTGTTGCAATGGCTCCTCTATATATTGTGAGTTATTAACCATATAAAAGGTATCAAAAAGACACCAGACACTCATTATATACTGCTGGCCAATATGTAGTATAGTCAATAATGACAATGGTAAAATCCCAAGTATGATTGTTCCTCTTTTCTTTGTGTGTTCCCCTTTTCATAACTTTTGACTTCTGGTGACAGAAACCTTTGTACAGTATTGCAAACATGATGACCTTGATCAAGGCCAGCAATCAATCAACAGCAGAACATAGCTCAATATTTGAGACCAACAAACTCAAAACTTTTCCTACATAATTTCCAATGGGGAAATACAACTGGCAGGCAATATAAAAATTTAAATGCATAAATTTCATTTATGAAAATTTACAACAGTCAAGAAAATTATTGCACAGGTTCATAGTGTACTAATTTCACTTTGGTTCACAGCAGACATTTTAAAGAAAAACAAACATATATCTGCTTTGCATACAAAATAACATCATCACCAATACAAAAGAACAATGACAATGTTGACCTAGTCATAAATTATGTATATATAACATCACGGTCACACACTATTATATATTGTGTTCGTTTTCTCCAAATTACCTTTAATTACGATACAGGCGTCAGCAGACCAATTTAGTTACGGTCTGCACATTAACCCTTAACCAGCGCCCCTCCCCCACCCATGTGCACCTGACAATCACCTGAGATTCTTAGGGTGACTCTTAACACACACACGTCATGAAAACGTCTGTCCTCTCCTTGATCAAGTTCACGGTAATAAAAATGTCTAGCGAAGCGTTATGTGCCGGGACCGCCACTCCACTTGATCTTTTATGAATGAGCTTTGAGCATACAAAAAAAGGGCAAAGCGAACACAGGTGACTGTCGATTTTATCACGCCTCTTCCGCCCTCCCACCTTAGCGGGCGATTCCGGCCACTTACCACGGATCAAACTCGTGGATGATGCTCTCGAAGCGTATGACGGCGAACAGGCGGCTGCTGAAGGCGGCCAGGTAGGCCAGGGCGAGGATGGAGAAGGAGAGAAGGGACTGCCAGCCGGCAGGGTTGGACAAGGCCGTGCGGATGTTGCTCTCCCCCGCCATCTTGGAACACGTTCTACCGCTGGACCAATCACAGAGCGGCACGGCACAGGGACGGGAAGTCTCGCGCCAGGCCGCGGGAAACACCGACGGGAAGAAGCGCCCACTAGCGAGAATCATAGTCAATGCAAGTTAGGTACAAATAAAAGAAGATGCAGATGGGCCGGAAAAAGGACCATGATTCCGTGAAGTATACATGTTGACTTCTGTTCAGCTGTGAATTTGGACAATGACGTGATTCTAGAAAAAATATGCCTGTAGTACTACTGCTGGTTGTGACATCTCTTGATCTCTCGATCGATCTTATGCATACGTCTGCTAGCTTTACGTCACAGCTCTAACGTTATAGGAATAATATTATTCGTCTTCAGATGATGTAGATCTGTACATCTGAAATTGGTAGCATTTGTGTTACCTTTCTATATACGTAATATACTGGTATTCACTGTCACGTACAGCCCGGCCCCCACGAATAGAGTAGAGTAGATCTTTCGTGTCGGTAGGAAGTTCTCTTCCACTTTGAGCCGCTCCTTGTAGTTTACTGCGTTGACATTGTCATCTTGTGGGGGTTGTCCAGTGCCCGGGGGTTGTACACCACTGGATGACTTCTCATGTGTTTGTCCAGTCTATACTGGATATACGCTGTAGGGTCCAAGTACTCTCCAAACAGAGGTTCCAGTGAAAAAAAAAAGAAACCCCGATAAAAAAAGCCTAAAAACACGCCAAAATAACCCCAAACCCAAACCTCTGCTTGGAGAGTAGGGTTCAAGCTCGAAGGCAATTATGACACCAATACTAGTATCCATCCGCCGTGCCTTCAGATTTGTCCTTGGCGCTGCATCATGTGGGGCGTAAGCCTAATTGGCCCTGCACATGGCGATCGAGGATGTCATGCTGCTTTCCCCCATGCACTCGGAACGCGACGTTGTTACGTCAATGTTTATATGATTCTTGCAGTGTGTGAACGTGTGAAGAATAAAAACATTCACTCAGCTATTGTCTGCAAGATGGGGCGAGTTCATTTCTGCTCCCAGTGTGTTCGCTGGATTTACGTGTACATGTATTAGTTATCGGTGCCAGAGGCTATACTAGCTTGATTTTTTTTCATCTGTGCGTCCTGACCGCAGACCTTCCTATAGCTACATACGTGGTAATTTTACGGTAGGACCAGTTTTAATTGGGCCCGGTATGTAACATTGTAGCCTGGAATCAATGCCTACCAGACATTTGCCGGTTTCTAGTAGCCACCGCGAGCGGCGAATACATGATGTAGCTCGTAGGGATGTAACAGGATAGTAACATAGGAAAATGGTAAAAATCGGCCAAATGCTAGTTGCCAGAGGCGGTCCAGGGAGCCACCAAAAACTATTAGCGTTCCACAGAAGCAATATCGTAAATCCTTAATAAATGTGTTCAATAAAAATTATTTGCATGTGAAGAGGACCAGCGACGACTTAAACTGCGTTTTCTCCATTTTTCTGTTCATTTTATCCATGAATTGAAGATATCTGGTTATCATGGAAGCACTGTTTTGGTGATATCGATAACATCTTTCATATGGACTCAAATTCCACAAAGCTTGCTTCGGTTCTTTCCGCTCAAGATGCCGGAAATAATGCCGACCTATAGCTCTAATAATTCGAATGGGTCCTGGGTAGGGCACTACCCTCGAAACCCATACACTAGGCCTGCTTGTAATGCATTAATGGGGCTTCAAAGCTTCAATACGACCAAAGCTAACAAGCCGATAGAATTATTGCCCAATTACTTTGTTTGGAGTCAGCAAAAGGGCATGCATGGTGGTACCTCACATATACAGTGCATATGTAACGTTATAGTTGGTCGACTGAGCTTTGCCTTGTTTTGGAAAGGGTCAGTCCAGCACTAGTTTATTTTTTTATTTTTTGAGAATTGTTTGCCAAAAATTATTTCAGTATTACAGTAGATACAAGATGTTTATTGGAAAGAGAAAATTATCAGTTTTGGCATCAAGAGGATAAATGTATACATGGTATGCTAATGACGTTAATGTAATATCATGCAATTTTATTACTAACAGTTATCCATATAACCTCCTTGATATAACATGTTATCGGCGTTATTTTGTAACGTCACGCCGATTTGAACTAGATGCAAAACCTACTCGCTATAGACTGTAAAACGTCCTTTTTTGTGATGTTATTCCAATGTAATTACCAACGTCTCTATAACAGTTAACTAGTTACGTTAGAGGAAAGCTAGATGACATTGAAGTTGAAAATTCATTGCGGCATCCATTTTTGACACTAACGTACAAATGTATTAAATGTGGAATATCGCCTACGATTGAGCTATTGGTTTTAGCATGTCGTTTATTCGAGAAGAACGTCATTTGTTTTGCCCAGAAGGTACTGTAGCAGACTCAGGGACTTATATTGAGCAACGCCCCCTCTCTTGTTGACTACAGCTGAGACCGTGTTGACCCCTAACCTTAGGGGGCGTGTCACATAGGGCACAAGCTTGCATTCCCTTGCAAAGTACTAACATTTCACTTTAAATTCGCAAGACCAAAGGTGACCTACATACCAGAGCTACCGATCTTTTATGTTTCAAAGAGATTTACTAGTCATATTGGGGAATGGTGTCAAATTATCGGACAAACTGTCACCGATCAATGGGTAGAATCTCGTAAATTTGGTCACCTGATCCATTATTGTGAGTTAATGCAGTGAGCAGGCGAACCTCTATCCATCCGCGGGAGGTTGACGCGTGGATTCCAGTGTAATTTCAGTAATATTCCCGAATTTGGAACTGAAATTTTGATGTATTGGTAATCTACAATACGATACTCTACCCTAAGGAACCTAATACAAGATAGAAATGGTCGATGAGTTCTGTCAGTGCATTTATGTTGATTTATGAATATGGTACTACTTGGTTTATACCACATCAACAATTCAGGTCCATATTAACTTTAAAGTATATCGGCGTTTCAAAGTATATCCTATAAAAATTAGTCGGAAAGATACAAGCACATATACTCTTTATTATTAACATTAGTAGTTTACGAAAATGAGCAAATATGAGCCTAGAGTGATGCTAATTTCTGACAGATATGCCCCCCTGAAGAAAAGTGGTAGACCCTACCGGCGGAGGAATATGTGTGTTTACGTCCATATTTGCCAGTGCTGAGGCCCCGGACGGCAGTTGAGCAATGTCGGCGGCCAGGAAGGGCAAGAGACGAAGGAAGCCTGCAAAAGTCTTAAAATTCAGCTGATTTTCGCGGATCGGGACGGTTTTTACTGGCATTTATGCTACCAAGAGAACAGCTCGTGTCTATGGCGGATTTAGAGCACAGTGTCAGCCCGGAGGCGGAGGGAATGGAGGGGGACGACGAGCGGACCGAGACCGAGCTAGCGGAGCACGATTCCCCGGACAGCAAGCGGGAGTGTAGCCGTAACGACGGGGGCGATCACCCACTGGAGCACCTCAACGATCGCCGCAGAAAACACCATCGGAGGGGACACCGCGGCTCGGGGGCGGAGGGCAGGAGGCGGTTCCGCCGCAAGTGGAAACCGTTCGTAAAACTGAGCTGGGAGGAGAGGAA